AATTAAGTACAATAACAATATCCAATACACGGCAAAATTCTAACTTGTCACATTTCAAATAATAACCAGAAATGTAAAACTACTGAGTTGGGTAAATACCACAATTTTACGGTGATAACTATGACATATAACCGCTGATTAATGACGTCACGGATCTTATAACCAAACTGATAACCACACTCGCTTGAACGGATCGGTAAATACCAACCCAAAATGGTAAATACCATTTTCATTTGGTTAGCCGCTTGAATTTGATTATAGTATCGTGACTGACGCTCATGACATGGTTGACTGGTGTCAGGTTTAGTTCAGCACCGTTTCCAGATGACCATTGATGACCATTGATTAGGGCAAGCAAGAAACTAGCGTTAGCTTTATCACATGTACGGGGACTATGGAGTATGGACAAATTGTATGTCTTGATCCATTTAATTTTTTGTTATACATGCTTGTAGTTAGCTCATAGGGACTGAGTTGTGCCGAACGAAATCCTTTATGAACTAATGACAGCGATGCGTGAGAAGTGCAGAGTTAACCTGCTTGACACAATTTTTTTAATTCACATCTATATTAGTCCATCGACTCCCAACTCTAACTTTAGATTCGTGTTCAGCGGGAAAAATACATGGGCTTTGTTAAGTGTCACGGATGCTTATTTTGTTTGATATTAAATCAGGTACAGTTGACTATTTCTATTTGTATGCTATTGAAAAAAGTATCTCTAAATGAATTAGAGTTAATAATCATTCTAGAGCTTAGTGTTCTTCCACCTGCGTGTCTGCTGTGTTCCGTTATCTAACAAACTCCGGCTTAATCCGCGAACATTCCGCGCGTTACCTTAAAAGAGCCCATGAAAGTATGCATGAGCATCGGGAGTAAAACAATGAAGTCATGGAGTGTGGGGTTTTCCAATGAAATGAGTGCGAGTGAGACGGAGAGAGGATTTCAATCAAACGAGATGAACCTCATGACTTTATGCAGTAGTAGCGGCGGCTGTTGTACGCCAGCCTTCTTTATTGACTCTGCTATCTGGCTCTTCTCGGTTTTCTTTCAAACATCACCAGAGGATTGCTGCTGAACGTGGTTTTTACGATTGTTCGCAGATTAATGAACCAGGACATAGGCGTAGGCGGTGCATTTTTTAATTCAAGAAACAAATATAATATAAAACTTCTTTTTTAGCTACAGACTCTATTCTTAGAAAGGACGAATTAAAAACAATGAATCCATACCGGTCGAGTAGCATATCTTTTTTACACTGAAGCACCCAAGTGCATGCAGAAGCCTAAATGCCAGGACACAGCAGCTGGCATAAGGAGCTTAAAGGAACTTTGTTAATCCGAGTTTTAATTTGTCTAAGGTCAGTAGAACTGGGAAAGCCTCCTCATGTAGATTGTTGCAGGCATATCGTGCGGAGGTATGGAGAGCTCCGTGGAGCAAAGCCCGTTGGCGTAGCCGGATGAGCGCTAGTATGCTTGATGTTCGTCAAGGTACAGTACTGTGTTTTGGAAGCATTACACTGTACAAGATTGTTGCGTCCCCAAGCAGTGATAACCTCAGGTGTCTCGTCAGAGAGGAAATCGCTGTTAGTCTTTTTTTCTATAGCTCACCGGCAGAGATCGTTACTCTGAATTCCTGCATGTAGAGTGCATTCAACAGCAAAGCTGTGGATTTGATTGATCGTACAGGAAAGGAGGTCGTTGATATGCAAAATGAACAATGCTGGAGCCAAGACCGATCCCTGGGGAACACCCGCGTTGACGTTGAAGAGGAGAACCCGTCAATTACAACGGAAATCTTGCGGCCAGAAAGGACGACAGCCACCCATCTGCAAAGCTTCTCTAGGATTCCATAGGATGCCTTTTTTCATAAGAGGGCAGCATGTTACAGCTGATCGATCGCTTTCGTGATATCGAGAGCAAGCATGACCATAAGGCTGGATCAGTTTACTCCACAGTTGTGTGACGTAAGCTAGGAGATCCAGATTGGATCGCTGGTGCCGGTAACCACACTGCCTGTCGCTAATCAACCCATGCCGTTCGAGGTACTCCAGCAGTACCCGATCTATGAACCTCACCATCACCTTACTTACAACAGAAAGCAGAGCTGTAGGCCAGTAGTTGTAAAGTGTGGTCTTAGATCCTTTTTTTTGGGGGGGGGGATATAGGTTGGAGATGAGCATTTTCCAGTTTTCTGGGGAACTGCTGGCTTCGTAAAATATCTGGAAGAGACGCGAAAGAAATGGAGCAAGCTCCACTGCTCAGCTCTCTAAGCGACAAGAACAGCCATCTTACAGTCTTATGCCTGAATGTTAATTCCCCCATAGTGTAGAGAACCCTTTGAATCGACGATACTCTGGCGTTGTGGTGGAGTTGCCAGCGAAGATCTTGGCAACCACTTCCGCCTTAGCCTTTGAATCGCTTACAATCGTTCCATCCTGGCATGTAAGGGGTGGAAGGCTACTCTGCGAGAAGTTCCTTTCAATCTGCTTGGCCAACGTCCAGAAAGACCGACTAGCGAACGCTTCAACAGCACGACCTGCTGCAACGGTCTTGTGCGAGAGAGCGATAAGGCAACAAATAAATTTAGGGGATGTTTTGTAGCTGAAGCCACAGAATGTCCTTTTGGCCTCATTCCTAAGAAACGGGTAAGGTTTTTTGGACTTATCACTTATGAAGAGAGTCAGCACGGACATTTGAATGATCTAGAAATCTAAAAAAAACTTCATCCAGAGCGGAAAAAACAATAATTTTTTGTCATGTCTACAGTGGAATTGGCCAAAGTATGTTGTACATTAGGAGACCTGATAAAAGGTCTCCAAGAGCAGAAAGTTTTCTAATACATATCAGTTTTGGAGATGGTGAGGACCAAATGTGAGGAATATAAGTACATAGTAATATATTTTCCACACAATCCTCCAGGGCGGCGCACAAAAAAACTTGTCATCAAATAGACGCAAATAACAGCTTAGAGAAGGCTGTATACGTATAAATATGATTAACGACAACGATTGGTCAAATAAGCAATTTGAGGTTAGATTAAATTTGAATTGCAAACATATACCCTAGTTTACGAGTATCCATCACACTTTGACGACTACTGATGTGATAGCTGATCAGCAAGTGTCATTTTTGTGTTAGCCTGAGAGGGCAATAATGAAACAGGTGTAATTCTAGTAAAACTTATTTGTAGCGTCTTGTTTTTTGTAAGCAAATGAACTTTTCTAAATAAAAGAACTGTTAGCAGGTACAAAATGAATCTTTAGCGTACAAAAAACCAAAACAAAATACGGCTCTGACTTCCTGACTTTGGTGGATCCGTCAGAATTATTTGTCCTGTGCCGATATGGGGAATTTTGAGATATTACCAGATAATCAGCTGTCATTCTACCGTGATGGATAGTCGTGAAATATGGTATATATTTCTTTTATTACTAAACTAAATCGTGTAGGGCCCTATGGGATGACATGCAGATTTTGAGATTAAAATGTTTTCCTTAAGTTATAAATCACTTTTCGCGGGTGCTATCCGCCGTAGCACTTTATATATAACTTTATGGAAACAGGAGTTGTTATTAAAACTTTTAAATTATCACATAGCTTTTACTTTTAGGGCCCTACGCGGAATATTATACGACATAGCTTAGTAATAAAAGATACACATATGCTTGAAATTCAAATTTTTTCTAACCGCAAATTTGACAAATCGTCGGTGTATTTGCTCATCGCCGTAACACCGGCAAAAATAAGATTTATAACTTTATAGAAACATCGACTACTGTCATATTGATAAAATTGAATAAAGCTTTGTGCTTCAACGATTCTCTTGATGTGATTTCTAGGAAACGAGACGTCTCACTAAAAATATGTGTAATGTAATATGCTACTATCTTATAGTAGTTCTTAAGAACATCGAATTTCATTTTTATAACAAACCACTTCTCTCAATCTAACAATTTTAAGGTAGAAAATCGTACTCTACTCTCAATCTCGTTGAAGGTCATTTTTTATAATTTCTGTCGACCGTAAATACGAGAGCTGAAGGTGACTTGGGGCTATTTCCGGTGCTCTGGTGTAGAAATATGTCTGCGGCCCACTGCCCGTTTCTGTCAGTAGTTCATACGCTTGTTGCGGATTTAAAGGGTGGTGGGGTGCTTTTTATTGTCAGAGCCTTTTTCTTACCTTTTTGGTGATTTAACCGTGCCGATAATTACACTCATCCATTGAGCTGAGCGGAACCGCCTGCAGGGTTAGTCCAAGCCACTCCTGGAGCAGTTCCTCCATTTTGGGAGAACCCTCATTGTCAGAGGGTTCTACCCTCCAGTTTTACCAAACGGTTCTACCCTCCGCTTTTAGGATCTCATCTGAGACTTTCTACCATCTGTTGCCGTTCGGGGAGAGCCAAGGTTTTTTTTGAATTTTAGTTTTTTAGTAACCATTTAGCCAGGGGTTAATACACAAATTTATTCTCGTTAGCTTGCCCTCCACGACCTCTCCTTAATGGTTTTAATTTTTATTGTTCAATAAATGTCTGTATACCTTGTGAGTTGGTATCTCCTTTAACGCCAGAATCCCAACATACTCGTTTCATTTTCTAGTTTTTTGGAAATTGGAGACATCCAAACCGTAACAACCATTGCATCCAAAAACCAAAGTACAACCAAAGAACCTCACCTTGAGGCATTAACTACGACTAAACCTAGTTTTGGCGGGTAACAGCTGTATTGAAATAGTTTCGAATATATTAGTGAAAAATGGAATTTTGTGTAACTATTATTTTTCTTTGACACGTTGACTTCATTTTTAAGGGGCTTACCTGAAAATTCGCCTTAAAAGCATTCGATATGAACGGTCTGGCTCTAAATTTTAAACCCTTTTTCATGGCATATTTTAGCTCAAACCCAATTGCCTGAGAGCTTGATCCTCTAACCACTAAATGCTATATCATTAAAACATATTTCAAGATGCGAAAAGATAAGCAAAACTAATACAATATAATTGCTTTTATTAAAATTAAGCAACAATTCAATAATTCGTTCTAAAGTAAATAAGGCCTGAATGACTAGCAAAAATTGGCAAAACACACAATAGTGCACAACATGAATTAGCATTATGACTCACAAATCGACTTCCAACTGAAGTCTCGCCAATAACATTTCGCTACAAAAAATACAATGTAAAACTATGTATATATTATTATAAAAATAAAGCAGTTTTTTCGTCCATCTTATGGAAGACTGTGGCACAAAAATAACCGATATTTTATATGGACAAACACAACATGTAAATTATTTAAAATCACTGTTCAGCAGAATTGAGTAGATGTATACATGAACGTCCTGGGCCATCATGCTAAAAACTTCTTGATGCATCTTACCATCCAAGTTGTTCTCGCATATGTAAAATACAGGGTACTGCGAAATCATCTAGCATATTATGTTTAGCTCACAAGAATAGATGTGATAGTATCCAAGTTCGAGTAAATCGCATAGCTAAGAATGTTTATAGAAATAGATTTTGAATTACTCCTGCTGACAATGACTGTAAACGAAGTTTATCCAAAATAATTTTGCAATACCCCGACTGAAAAAGTATCTTTTATAAATAAATACATTATAAAAGCATTACTGAATATGTATAAATAATATCTAAGATAAAATATTTAAAATAAAAATAATAGGAACATAAAAAGTAAAGAGTAAAATCATCATCAAAAATAATGATATGGCACTATAATAAATAATAAAATATGCAATTAAGAATGAATAGAGTCTCTATAACTTATTTACTTGTTATTCTATTTATTGCACTAAATAGCACCAATATGTTAGACAATTACATAATATTTAAATTTGGTTACTTGGAAAAACTAAGGCACTTCGTTATTATCGATTTTGCTAGACCCTTTTAGCAAAGTCACGGCGGAAAAACACGTACCGAACCTAATCTCGCATCGGCCTATTTCAATTGAAATAATTATTATCGCTTAATATTTCTGACTGAATGGAAAATGATATTGTGCCTCAACACTCTTGACTCAGCGATCATGAAGTAGGTAGCCACTGTAATGGCAATTTGCACAAAGTTACTATCATAAGACGACCTTCGCGTTTGAATCTCGAATATTTTGAGCACTTAGCCTCCGAATTTTTGGGGTAATTAGAAGTTATTTTTAAGTCCTTTTTCAGAACGTAGAAATGATTTTGTGAATTGCATTACTTCATTAAAAAACTACTCTTTGGCTGCTTTTGTAATCCTAATGAAAGATTTATATACACTGTACTCTGCAAATTAGCAAATAATTATGACCTTTCTTTTTGTTTATGGTGTTTGAATATAAAATGGCATTCTGAGAAAATGAGAAAAGGACACCTCAAATAAGGGTTTTACAGATGTTCATGAATTTTGTTTCAATAAATAACTTATTCTACATATCGCTGCTTCTGAAGAATAGTGACACTATCAAAAAACGAGAAAAATTAGTTAAAATTGCAGATCCACTTCATATGTGGATAGTGACATAAAGTGCATTGTGACTATCTTCCTACATAAAAATTCGGAAAATGAGTCATTCAAACTATCCGATGTTAAACTAATGAGGGTAGAATCTCAACATTCTGGAACATTTTTCTACAAAAGCTGAGAACGATTTTCGTAAAGTTGAGGTAGATAAAAGATCTTATAGTAGATCTAAGAAAAACGAAGCAACTAAAAGAGAGTTACTCTGAATAAAGCATACAAACGTAAGATTCCCATTTCCGAGAAAAAGAAAAGCACATCACTGAATTTAGTAAAAAAAAATATAATACCCTCATACTGTGAGGGATTTTACAATAATTTGTAACCAATTTTTGTATTGTACTTGTTTTTTTTCTATACTTACCTTTGATTTGTTAGTTCCACGTAGCCTTTAAAATGTTATTAGTTGTGTATCATTTGTTGTAATACTACAATAATTTTTTTCTTTTTGTTATTTAACCAGGAATTGTCATATATTTTTTTAAATGCATTATTTTTTTAGCAATAATGATACATTCTTGTAAAGTTGCAAAAAAAATAAAATGGGATATTTTTGAAAACATACTGATCTTTTATTCAAAGAAATTGAAAGATCAATAAACCTTAATTGATAATTTTGCTAAATCCAAATTATTAAGTTTTATCTGCAGTTATCCGAAATGGTTCTTCAAAAAGTATTAAAATTGCCTCTCCTGAAAAAAAGCTTTTTTCGAATAGTGTTACTATTCTTGAGAAACAGCAGTCTTTGGTTGAAGTGATTTCTGGTTATCAATCATTTAGGAACAGTGCATATATCGTTTTTCGCGCAACCCAACAATAGATTTTGAAAACCATTACAACTTGTTGCTAGATTCAGCATCTGTCTCAGTTGGTCCATAGTTTTTAAACATACAACAACACAACATTCATCTCCCTTTTTGTTACAGTGCCCATTGGACTGTGTCGCAATTTTGGAGGCACTGTTCGTAGCCAAACAGCCAGATTTACTTGTGTTATTTGTCAAAAGCTGACTCAAGCTAGCCAGAAGTCCATTAGCAGTAGAACCCGGTTGCGTCCCATTAGTACTACAGCATTCTTTAGTTTTTGGAGCATCCTGCTGTTGACACTGACTTGAGTTGCTGTGAGGACTAGCAATACTTGTTTCCTCTTGCGAACTGGAGGAAAAACTCTCAGTCATTGGAGGAGCTGTTGAAATATCTGCATGTGGAAAAATAACAGCTCCATTGTTTATAAACAGGGTTTCCGAATTATTTTTCGAACCGTGTTCGTAGCTGATACAGCTTCGACAGTTATTGTTATCAACGCAGTGGCAATCCGCGCAAGAACAAATGTCACTGATCAATGTCTTTAGCACATCAGTTGTAGTATTTGTTTTATTAGGGATGCTCATGGTTTCAGTAACAGGCACATTGCTTTGAACAGGAGGAAGATTCAAATACGTCTGAATTGTAGTAGGAACAGCAACAAGTGGATTTTCGTTGACACTTTCCTGAAATATGTTAATTTGACTAGAGCCACTGGCATAATTGACTGCATCTATCCACGCAGAAGACATCTCCTCATCACAAGCTAGCGACATCTGGAGAGCTTCCGGTGTGTATAGTTGCTTATCAAGATTCACTGAATCATTGGAAAGTGTACTCGTCTCATTGGCTGTCTTTACGGTATCCACGCTTATAATTTTGATTTTCTGCGTATCAGCCTTGGCGTTTTCACTGCCATCATAAGCAGTATTAAACAGGTTGTTTCCAATGTCATATAAATTGATTCCAGCATTCTCAAATTCTGTTATGATCGAATTTTCCTCCAACTCCAGTTTTGTGTTATCAATTAACGTTTCCCCATCCTTGCCGTCTTCCACGTTTTCAGTTCCTATGTTGTATGACAATTGCAATGGTACATCCTCAGTATTTACAGTAGCATAATCCTTCAATCTATTTGCAGTTTCAAATTGCTCTTCTATTACTGCAGCATACTTTGCTTTTGCTTCTGTCTCAATTTGAAGTTTCAACGAATCCGTACCGTTTTGATCTAAGAAATTGATGTCAGTAACGTTATTATCACTAAATGTGAGACTATTGTACAAGTTATCAAAGTTGATTTCCTGAATGTCTATATTTGTATTTAGTATATCAGGTACTTCCTTTCTGTCACTGGAATTTTGTTTCTGAAAACCTGAAAAATAATGTCTTTGTAAATGATGTTAAAATAAAATTTGTTTAAAACAAAGTATCAACCAGCACAAAATATTAGATGTACTCCAGAAGAAATTTATAAAATTTGATCTGTATGGATTCATTCAAATTGTATAACGATTCCACAGCGTCTATAAAACCGAAATCATTTTCTGATGCTAGAGTGAATCGCCATTACACTTGAAGAAGGATCAAAATATTTATCGTAAGTCAGATTAGTTTTGGGTATTCCTATAGTTAGGACTTCCCTTCTGATAGTCTGCAGTAGAAATAGTCGTATTTTCCTAGTAACACATACACCAAAGTCTTAAGACAGGCTACTCTATTATAGTGTAGACGACTTCCAAGGTCAATGGAGCCGACCGGCGGATTATAGAGGCATTCCACGAAGGGTCTCCTCTTAATACGAGGGTGAATCAAATATGAACCGGACGTTTGTGTTTAACGCGCCATAGGTGAATGAAGTGGGGCGACGTCTTGGTATATGTTGGGTGGGGATGTCAGGAACAAGGGAGTTAGTCGGTTTGGCGAGCCGCAGTATAGTAGATGAGCTATTAGTGGCATCATGCCTGAGCCTGAGTTGCACAGGTTTGTTGCGCTATACATTATCATAAAAGTTTTGTGGCGGGAGGGCGTACAACCTACCGAAATTTTGCGTCGATTATCAGCACAGTTCGGCGATAAGACAGTTTCAAGTACACCAATATACGACTGGAAAAAATGCCTTGGAATGGCGAAAACCTGTACATGGATCACCGCGAAAAGCCAATACCAGTGTTTCGGCAGGAAAACTTCTTGCAACGGTATTTTGGGATTCCAGAGGTGTATTGCTAGTTCATTTTCTTCACGACTGCCGTACAGTTAATGTTGCTTACTAATGCCAACTGCTTAAAGAAGTGAACCTGGCCTATCGACGAAAAAGGCGAGCCAAGCTTAATCGAAGTGCCACTCTGCGCACACAGCTGCATTGACGCAAGAAAAACTACGCGAAATTCATTGAGAAACACTTGAACACCCGCGTTACAGTCCGGATTTGTCGCCATGCGACTATCACATGTTAGGGCCACTTAAAGAAGACCTGGGAGGTCACCACTTTGACGTCGACGAAGGTGTGGAAACGTTCGTGTACATTTGGCTACTGACACGAACAGCTTCATTCTTTAATGGAGGAATTAAAAAACTTTAGATCCGATGGTAAAAATGCATCAATAAGAGAGGAAAGGTAAACCTAGATGCTTGTGTATAGATGCCACTTTAAATAACGAAAATTACACATTCCTATAGCAACATCAAACTGATCAATTTCATGTTAGTTTTTAGTCATCTTTCATCTCTCTCTAATTTTATTCGCCTTAGGTAACTGTCTTCTCTTTATACAAGTAATATTTGGCCAAGTTAGGTTCCGGAAAAATCTGACGTATCAAAACCGGCCACGCCCCCAACAAAGGGCTGAACGCCGTATAGGTAAACCTAGCTTTTTGTGTAGAAATTGAGTTTGAAATAACGAAAACGGCATATTCCTATAGCAACACCAAACTGATCAGTTTCATGTTAGTTTTAATTTACCGTATATTCTAGATAATGCTAATGCTTTGAGCGTGTTTCAGATTGTTTTCCTGAACGTTTCCGTCTTGCGCGGAGTAAATTCGTTTATCTCGTGAAACTTATGTTTTTGAATCGAACGTCGGCAACTCCGCACAGGATTTATATCTATAAGCAACTTATGTCAATGCAGTACTTGAAATTTCTTATCAAATGAACATTGGGTACTGGTTGACCGGACATTCCTTGTTATTTCGAACGTAGTAGTTTCTAAAAAGGGAAGCTCCAACTTTCAGAACATCCTGTATATCTAAGCGATATTTTTTATGTTCATTACCTTCTGGTAATTAAGCAGTTAAATGGGATTAAAACAATAAAACTAAATAAGCGATATTAATATTAAACTTTCAAGAAAAAATTGCAAAACGAAATCTATCTAATATCCTGGAGAAAACCATTATCAAAACTTATTTTCAAGATAAGTTTCCAGGCTGCTGCACTAAAAGCAAGAAATGTCTGCTAGTAAAAAAGCAAAATCGGTTAAAATGGCCTGAGCTAAGCATGTCATTTCATGTTTGCAGATTTTACCGTCATTCTCATTTTCAGTGTATTCAAAACTTTTATTTATCTGATCCCAATCCAATGTGTCTCTGATGTATGTGTTGAAATTGCAATTTCCATCAAAATCGAAGGAGAGATTACCATTGTCAAAGTTCCTCAATTCCTCTATATCTATATTGTCTTTAGACATATTTTCGTTCTGTTGGTTATTTTCAATCTCTATTTGACTTGGACGATCTGTTTGTGAAGCATTCTCAGATTTGCTTTTGGGTTCACCCGTGAGCTTTTCGTGTTTTTGATGGGTCTTTATGTGAGACTTCAGGCTGTGTGGTGTTGAAAAGGCTCGGTGACATTCAACTGTCTCTTTGCATGCATATGGTTTCTCACCAGTATGAATTCTTTGGTGAGTTTTTAAGTGATGACTTGCAGTAAATGCTTTTCCACAACCGGCTTCTTTACACCTAAAAAATGTCAATGTGATTTGTGTGTCTTAGGCCCGATTTTACTATTGACTGGCGGGTATCAAAATTTTGTGTCTATGATACAAATTGAAACAATGAGAAGGCGTCTTACTAGTAGTGAAGTAATGGATCTAATGAATTCACCCAATTTCTTTTAAGATGTCGTCTCTCAAGCTAGCGAAAAATTGTTCGATTTGTATAATATGTACCCCAAATTCACATATTAAAACAAAAATGATCAATAAATCGCCTGGTTTAGCTACAAATACCTATTCTGTCATTTGTGTCCAAACACACAAACAAGTTGACGCAAATACCATCAATCAAAAAATATTTGTCGCCTACTCGAAACATGGGTCAAACTTGATACAATAGATTGACATGATGCCAATACTGAACATTTTATTGAAAATAACAGTGTCTCACTGTTTCTGAACAAAATTTTGCTTGAGAAATTCTTTGAGGACATGAATCAAATTACAGAATCCTTATTCTGTAATAAACATCGAGTAAATAATCAATTTACTTACTGTTAACAGGAAGATGTCGCGCACTCTCCTGGATAGTACATCGACTGCATGATCACACTGACAACTATCTCTTTATGACATCAAAGAATTTATCAAGCAGAATTTTGTATAGCAACAGTGAGACACTGTTATTTTCAATAAAATGTTCAGTAATGGCATCATGTCAATCTATTGTATCAAGTTTGATCGACGTTTACGTTTTTTCAATATAATGTAAATTTCGAGCATGGCGCAAATGCTTATTTTCCATTGGTGCATTATATGATCATGGCCGCTAATTTAGTGTTCGGATTCAAATGAAAAAATGAATTTTTGTAGCTAAACCAAGTGATTTATGGGGTATTTTTTTATTTACTATAGGAATTAGGGGTCATCTTACTCCATGCACTTTTTTGCTTAGTAAAATCGGGCATTAATGAAAAATAATACTATAATTAATAACCATATATTATTTAAAATTTGATTGCACAAAAAAATGTTACTCGTTCGCACAGTGGCCATGTGTACCCCGTGGGTAGTTAACCACAGGATCGTGTAGTTCCAAGCTTTAACAACGCGCTAAAATAAACCCTTAAAAAATGACCATTTTGTGTATACCGTGATCAACAGTGCTGCTCTAAGGCGAATGTCATACGATCAATATTTACTTTTGATTCCATCAATGTCAGTTGATTTCTATGTAATCTTATACATCAGTAGTTACTGATTTCTTGGCTACATACATAAATATCACAGTCCATAGTAATTATTAATGGATCACAGTAAATACTGACCAAGTGACATTCGCCTCCCTAAGATCCTTGTATAGTTCACAGCATGCAATGTAAATGAACCAGTGTTGTGCCATCTCTTAGCACAGACTGATGTTAACACACGGAATAGCACAATCCTGTGATTAGTTACACCACAGTGTAAACATGGCCAACATTCATGACAGTTTGATGACAACAATTACTGAACAACCTATAGTCTTTTTCACGGTTTTTGGCGGTTACATCACAATCTCATTCAAAATAAGTAGACAGAGTGACTAACTGTAGAATATCTGGAGTTTTACTTAAGGTTATGGGAGTTGCACACTATGCAAGCGAATCCTTAGCCCAGCTACTATTCGCTCTTGCACACACATACATACTCAAATTGGGTGATAGAAGACCATTGACTTCATTTTCTTTCTGAAAATCTCTACATATAAATGTGAATACGTGTCCAGTTCTATCAGCATCACGCCTGAACCTCAATATACTTACTTATTAATACACGAAGAAGGTTATAGACTTAGTTAGATCCGCGAATCCGTCGTCAATTTTAAAATCAACCGTCGTGGCAAGTACCAAAATTTCCGCCGTCAGCATCGAGCCGACAAAAGCGCGGCTTGTCTTAGCCCCTCTCAACCTGTGAGCGTCATCCGATAGAGACAGTTGTTACCCTCAACTTCGTTGAAACTGTCACTAATATGAAACATTGTTTTCAAGTAATACTATACACTTCAGATCATGTTTTGTATCCATGAAGAAATTTGGGTACTTCATTAGTGGCAAGTGGCGCCACCTACACGTTCCGCGGATAAAAGCGCAAGGCATAAAGTTGGTGGTCCAATAAATTTAACACATTGCAGTTGTACCTTAAGGCATTACTGTGTTTTATATGGAATATAACCAAAAGATAGACTCAGATCGCACTCCCATGACAAACAGGTCATAATGGCACTGACAGGCATAATGGAAAATTCATACATTGCCGAGAAAATTTTTTTAGGCAGTGAGACAGAACTAAAAATCGCATGCCTGTGAGCTTTCACATAAAAAACGTCCGCGCTTAGAGGATGATTACATATGTGTGGGGGTCATATATATATGAAAGTAATCTATGTAGTTTCAATGTGACCCGTTAAAATGCGTGAAAAGACTTACTGGCTATCAATTTTCTATCAGCAAACCAAATTGTACGGAATGGGAATTTTTAAATATACAATTTTTCAATTCTGCTCAAATGTTACAAAAGGTATTATAAGCCAATTTAGATGCATCTGGTATGTTACAAACTACCTGGGTTAAAAATTAGGCATGTAAATGCTTTTGCTCGACGTGTTGAGATGTTATAACATACACTTGCTTAAATTATCCCTAAGCCAGTTGTCACATAAAATTGGGGCGTTCTGTTGAAACGTCCATAGCCAGATAGCAGATAGCTTTCATCAAGACATAGTAGCAATTTTAAGTAGGTAAAAATGAGAGTATTTTATTGTTTCCTTTCATCTAATGCAGTATTGGTTTATACTTGTACTTACTTATATGGTTTCTCTCTTGTGTGAGTCCGAATGTGTTTTTTCAGGTCACTCAGAGTAGTAAAAAATTTTGTACAACCCTCAGCATAGCAGTTGAAGGTTTTGCCGTTGTGCAGACGTTCATGTGCCCTTAATCTGTACAGAGTATTGAAAGCTTTATGGCAGCCATCTTGATTGCATTGGAATGGCTTTACTTTGGTATGAACACGAATATGAATTTTCAGACTGTATGAGGTTAAAAAAGCTTTTCCACATCCTGGTTCTGTACATTTAAATCTGAATTCCCCTGAAATGAAATATGGTTTTAGATCAAAGTTCCAAGACACGTTATCCATCCCAAGGTCCTGGTTGTAATGCAATTTGTATGAAAAGATTGTTGAACGAAAACCAGGGTGACGATAGCAGCCGATTTCTAGCAAATTCTTCCAGGCATTCGCGTGAAGTTAGCAGGCAACTTCCAACAGCCGTTTTTGTATCAATCACTGATATTTGCAACAATTGCATTTCTAGCTGACTTCAGCAACAGGCCATGATGAAAGGGTAGTTTCACCTTTAATGCATAAATTATTTAAAAAGAGGTATGGGTGTTCTCGAAAAAGCTAACAGTGTTTTTGCACAATGAACATCAGTAAAGCACATCATTTATATGTGTGCATGGAAGACAGAGTGTAATTTCCTTCCAGCCTGATGAATGGGTGGTTTATACTCCCAAAACATTACGTCGGCAGTTTTTTGCATCTCCCACCTAGCCAGAAAAAGAGCTACGGGCTAAAAATAAAGCTTGCAGCTATAAGGATACAAGGTCAAATCCCCTTGAACATGCTGAATGTGCTTTCTTACATTTCTCATATAGCCAGAAAAAGAGTTACAGGTTAAAAATGAAAGACAAGTGTTCCTTTCATTAGTAGCTATAAGGTCAATAGGTTCCATCTTTTTTGAACGCATTGAAGCAGTTAATTTCACCTCTTGAACCTCAGAAATGCTGTTTCTTGCATTCCTCACCTAGCCAGAAAAAGAGTTATAAGCAAAAAACGAATGAAAGGTGTCCCTTTTATTAGTAGCTATAAGACCACATACAGCTGTGTGTGTGTGTACAGCTTTCAATTGGGTTGGTATCTTCTAGTAGAATGTGTTAACAATAAATACCCATTTCTACTATTGCCAGTCAACTGACTGGGTGTGATAGATAATTATACATATAGTTGTCATTACAAGTATCAATTGAAAAAATAATATATTAATATATAAATAATAGAAAAAATCGTGAAGTCTCATGTACAAGAGTGATAACATGAAATGTTTATTTTCAATGCAAAAGTTTGTAACTGGTCTTTTGACTGGTTATGGTATATTTAGTGTTAATTAATTGTGCTGCTTAACAAAGATGGCTGTTACCTTTATGAGTTTTCATATGTGTTCTCAGATTTCCTACAGTGCTGTATGTTCTTGTACATCCATCATATTCACAATGGAACCTATTTATAGTTGTCTCTTTGGTATTGGGGTCTGTGCTTGTTACTGTGACAATAGCATGAGATGGTTCTAGCCCTGGTTCAAACTCAATTTTATTTGTTGCACTAGGATTGATTTGCATGTATATTTCATCCAAAGATACAGTTTGCCAGATGAACCTGCTGAACATGTATTAGTAATAATAATATATTTACAAATAAATAGTTTTTAAAACATACAGTGAATATTGATTAACTACTGCAGTTTTCCCACTTCTGTCATTAAAGCTATAAAATCTAAATGTGAATGTCTATGGATGGCAGTAGATTGTTTGCTTGTCCACACATCCTATATATGGGACCATGTGAAGCAAGATCACAGAAAACAACTAATTTAGCCTTGTCTGTCTGGCTGGAATATACAACTTGATCCTTGATAATAATTCAAGGGAACACAACAGACTATGACACAACTCATATAGCATACATTCAGTATAAGGTAAATTCACCTAATAACGACCCATTAAAAAGTCGATCCTATTACCGACCACTTTGCCATCATCTAATTTACAACAAAATTATTTGATCAAATCAAGATCTACTCAAATTTCCCGCCTTGCTTTAGACGCCTGATACATGTAAAAGCGTTCCTGCGCAGTAACAATTACATATTCAAATCAGATCTGTCAAAAAACCGTTAGTTAGTCGACGACCTTCGTTTGGTCGAGTGTTTGGTGTTGCAAAAGACTGTAATGGTAAGTATCAATGAGTTAATTATTAAGCTTTTTAAAATAAAAATATTTACATTTATGCAAGTATTCAAGTGAAATATTGTGCTCATATTCATTTTTTCTCAAAAAAATATATTACTACTTAAAAAAATTGGACCAAATTTATGAAAACTGCTTAAAATCAATAGGACGGCCATAGGGTAACATATTTTAATGTTTTCCTATTACCGCCTTATATATCGCTATTACGATTATTCTTCGCATTTAATAAGGAGACATTTTTGGAATAAATATTACTTTCTTAATCTTCAAATTAACTTGTTTTGTACTTAACATGGCGAAGTATCTTATTTTCTATTTCCGACCTATATAATATTTCTTCTTCTTCTTAATATTTAAAGTAGAATTCAGTCTTGCTTATATCCATATTATTCTAAATAATGCTACCTGGATTTTGAATGCAAAACTGTCTTTTTGTAGAAATTAGGAAAAGATTTAGTTAATTTTTACATTTGCGCAAATTGGGTAAGATGTTTACAATAAATTGTACCCTAGAAATATATCCTATAGTAGTTAATATCACGTGTAATTAGAGAAAATGATTGAAAGAAATAGCGCGGTAATAAGATAAAAATATTTTCTTTCCTCCCCATTGCCGACTTTAGATCCTTGTTAGGGAATTTTTAGAATGTCTTTTTAGGCATATTTTCAGAAACATGTATGATTTATTATCATAAAAACCAATCCTTTAGGGAGATTGCTCTTTAAAAAATCTTATTTTCTATTTCCGACCTATGAATTTATTGTTCTAGATCTTAATATTTTAATTCAGTTACTTCGCTTGCATTACTATTTTACATAAATTAGAAAAATACTTTCTGAGTAAATTAACTTTTTCAAATAAAATAGTGCTCAAGAAAGAGATTAACTTGACTCGGGCTCAACAGAAAAAGTGTGTACTTAATTTTTTTGTTTATTTCATCAGACTGGCTAAAGAAAAAGTGCTAAAGATTTATAATTTAATATCGTGCTATTGGGTCAGTAATAGGTTTATAGGTCTATACATTTTACCAATTACCGTCCTTTTTGTTTCAGAAATATGCCTGCAGAAATGCGGGTTAAATATACAAAAGATCAGCTATCTCGAGCTCTTGAAGCCATAAATAATGGAATGTCTGTCTATAAAGCATCCCAAACTTTTAACGTGCCGAAAACAACTCTCAGAGATAAACGTGATGGAAAGTACAAAAATGAAAAGTGTGGAGTTCAGCCGGTTCTTTCTAGAGACGAAGAAAGAACAATTGTTGAATGGATTGTCCATCTAGCAGCTCTAGGTTTTCCAGTCACGAAGTCACAGTTACTAGAAAGCGTTTCAAATCTGGTGAAAAATTTACAACGTCCAAATCCATTTAAGGATGGTAAGCCTGGAAACCACTGGTTTCAAAAGTTTATGGACCGTCATCCTGAAATTTCCAAACGTGTATCGCAAAACCTTACTACAAGTAGAAGTGCAGTTACTGAATTGGCTATTAAAAACTGGTTCAGAAAAGTCGAAGAATATTTTAGAAGCCAAAATATTATGGATATTCTTGAGGATGGCTCCAGAGTTTTTAACTGTGATGAGTCGGCTTTCTTTTTGTGTCCAAAAGAAAAGCAAGTTCTCGTTAGAAGAGGAACCAAGCTTGTTTATAACCGGGTAGCAAACGACGAAAAAGAATGTCTAACTGTTCTTGCAAATGTGTCTGCTGATGGCTCACCAGCTCCTCCTATGGTAATATTCCCCTACAAAAGATTACCAAAATTTATACCGTACACTGTTCCTAGCGGCTGGGGCTTAGGCTATACAGAGAGTGGCTGGATGAATTCAGAGGCTTTCTATGAATACGTTGCAAATGTTTTTTACCCCTGGCTGCAAAATCGTGACACTAAGTTTCCAGTGGCTTTATTTCTTGATGGTCATACCTCCCACATATCTTTAGCCTTAAGTGAATTTTGTAAGGAGAAGGGGATAGTATTAGTCGCACTTTTGCCTAATTCTACCCACATTTTACAGCCATTAGATGTGGCCGTTTTTAGACCAGTTAAAGTCACGTGGCGAAATGTGGTTAATGATTTTAGATTTAAAAACGAAGGGGCAAAAATCAGAAGAAGCGATTTTTCAAATTTGGTTAAAGCATGTTTTGAAAAATGTCTTAAACAAGAAACTATAAAGAAGGGATTTGAATGCTGTGGCCTTTTCCCCTTTAACCCCGAAAGTATTAATTACAGTAAGCTCATGAAAAAATATATACAAGAGCAGCAAGAACCAGTTTGTAATAATACACAGGATCAAAATGTAACAGGTCAGACAGATCATCATTTTAAAGAACAGCTGGAGGCTCGGCTACCTCTAGCAACACTAGAATTGTTCAAGTCTTCGGGCGATACATGGAATGGAGATCTCACCTATGAAAAACTATTCGTTTTCTGGAAGTCTCTTCAGGATAAACCAAGTGCAGAAACGGATATGATTTTAGATGACACCACAATCATAAATAATATTACTGAAAATATCAACGACTTTGACGAAAATGCCTGGGATACAATCGACTTAGAAATTCAAGGAGACGGCAACCTTTCAATATGCAATATTAAATATACTGAAAATGGCAGTTTACCAGGACCATTGGTTAACGAAGGCACTAAAAATAGTAATGCACTTAGAACAATAGAAAAAAACTATAATACCCCGGATACATCACCCGTGAAAATCTTACCTCACGATAATATTTTAATTGAAGAACACGCTAGTGAAAACGACACAAACTTAGATGTTGTGGCCACAACCGAAAAACCGAAAGAAAACCCCATGCTGCCAGTAGGTGAATCCGCAGAAGAACTTATGTGCTTTAAAGTATCAACGCCGTTTAAAAACGCTTTTTACTTCCCTAAGAAAGTTGTAGATTCGGCAAAGAAAAGAACTACGAGAAAAATTACGCCAGTAGTAGCAATTTCAGATGAATTCATGGAGTATCAGAGAAGAATTGATGCGGAAAAAGAAAAGAAGCAACATGAAAAAGAACAAAGAAAAATTAAAAAAGTAACAAATCAATTGCTGAAGAAAAGAAAATTAAATCCTGAAGATAATTCTGAAAAAAACGTGGAAAAGAAAATAAGTAATTACAAAATTGGAGACTATGTAATAACAATGTACGAAGGAGAACTCTTTCCAGGAGTTGTTTGTGGTTATGATGAGAATGGAATAATGGCGGGAATAACTGTAAAATCAATGGAAATGAGTGGACCAAACTGGAAGTGGCCAGAAAAAGATGATATATTGACCTACGATATCAAAGATATTTTATGTAAAATTGAACCGCCTGAATTAATAAACAGCAGGGGCATTTATAACATTCCAAAGATGGAAGAATTTAAAAAAAAGTCAACCTAGTTTTTCATAGATGTAGTCATGTTTTTTTATTTCAAGTAACTATTGTTGTGCTTATTTAGTAACTGTTTATTTCACCCAAGTTAGTAAACTTACTTACCCATTTAAATACCTACTTGTTTTATTTCCATAAGCGGTAATAGGTGACAAAAAGTCGGTAATAGGAATAGAAATAGAAGTATAGGGCGCTAATGGGATATATCCACATTTTTTTATTTAATCAATTTTTTTCAAAACAAGCTTATGGTAATAAACCGCTCACTCGATTTTTTTGTTTGCAATAAAATACTATATAGCACAGAGTCTTCACAATACCTATAAAATAAATACAACTCTAAATAATAATACCTAAACTTTGTTAAGTCTTAAGTAGGGCGGTAATAGGTGAATTTACCTTATTCATAACCTTCCAACCCAGGAGAAATTTGTACACTGCAACACTGTCAAATTTTTGGAAAGCACAGAGTTGACCTACTTGGTAGCATTTTTGCATAATTTTTGTTCGTTTATTTTATTAATGTTTTTAGATTTTTCCAGCATTTTAAAACATCCTGTATACTTTGTTCATTCTATCCTTTACCTGATTGTGAAATCATGTGATGCATTCTTTAAAAATGTATACAAATTGAATGATTCTGGGGGATAAACTTCATGCAATTTTAATTTAATCTGATTTTGTTTATACCATGCGAAAAACATTTTGAAAAACTACGAACGGATAATCTGGACACCCCCTCGTAGCTGTCATTGCTGCCAACCCCCGGATTAATAGCTGTTATCACATATAACCTCAAATAGGAATTCTGTAGTGAAACATAACATAACTGTATTGTACATATATATATTCCTTACTTTCTGATGTTAGGTATGTAGTATGTACAAAACTGATACTAATTGTAGGTATGCATTTGGAAGAGTCCAATATCAAAAGTGCAATATCTAAATTTGGTAATATACACCCATGTGATCAAAACAAAGGCTTCTTACCCCACATTTTCCTCAGCATGTTCTATTTTGCCGATAAAGTGATTATCAGAATCTAATTGATCGTTACGTTTTTCGTTGGAGGGAACATAGATATTATTGAAATTGAAATCCAAGCTTTCATCAAGGCAGTCTTGCAAATCGTGTGTTACTACTATGTGATTAGAAGCCTCATTCTCACTTTCGCTTTTCCTCATCCACTTTGACATAATTTCAACTTAGCTTCATTCCAGAAATAAAATAAAACCAAATAATTATTGGTAAATTGAAGACCAATTTCACACATTTCACTGCATATTTATGTAGTTTTGATCACAAAACATGAAAACATATATACGGAGTTTTGATAACTGTCAAATGTTAGCTCATTGTCATGACTGTCACGGCAAATCTCTTGGAACATGGAACGCAGAAGCGAATGCTTGACGTTCCGTGATCAGTCTACAAAATCGTGGGATACAAGGTGTCATCGAAATGAATGAGATATTTGGTGGCGAAAACTAAAATTCGAACTACACGGGTATTACGTGTCTTGAAAAGAGTGACACTTTGTCGATTTTTTTGACATTAAAAGCTATCTAACATCTTTATTCTCCGTATCTAACGGAGCCCCTCGTTCCGATATCGGAGATTGAAGGATTAATCCCTGCTTCGCAAGCCCGTAATAATAATCATCATCATAACGACACTAAACAAGTCTATGTCGTGATACAAACGATAAACTGCGACTCGTCAGCTAGAGCCTTGAACATGTATGAATGTATGAATATGGGTCTGCCGTCGATGCCCAACCTGAACGTGTGTAATGTGACGTCACAGTCGAAGTTCGACGCACGAAGGCGGTCGGCTACAGCACACCCGACACAGAAAATGTTAAAACTTCCTTCAAGTCACCGGAATAATTCTTTCAGATTTGTTAAAGATACCAATGATACTATTATATGCAAGTAAAATTGGCAGTATTTCCGACTACATGAAACTTCCTAATTGCACAAAGCATGCGAACAATTGTGCTTTTGCTCATCAGTGAATTGAGTACGTATCATGCCCGTGGACAGTGAAACTCTCGCATAGTTATGGGCCTGCCCCACGCGAAAGCTTCACCACAGTTTTGCCTGCGCAAGCCTGCGTGTACTTGCCTGTGAGTCTGGTTGGGTGTTCAGTGTTCAAGCCACAGTCTCTCCATACTCGAAATCAGAGAACTATTTTCAAACTCAATATTCACAACAAGAAATAAGCCAATCACGACCTCAATCCTCTGTATCACGGAACCTTTCTCAAATCTTGGTATGATCTTCCAATAGCCAGGAACCTTAAAGTAGCGGTCATAAAGGCATAACCGTATTTTGACGTTGAATGAGAGTCGTAACCAAACGTAATAATTCACTATAGGTATTTTCATCCATCCGTAAATATTTTTTCATCTTTTGAGTACTTCAGTAAATCTATATGTGAATGCATGTTTCTATTCAACAGCCATTTCTTCATTCACTTCGACCGCTTACGTTTAGACTTTAGCAGTGTCTTTTTCTTCATTAACAAAACCTCAAAATCTAACAACAGTAGAAGTAATTCTTCATTGGGAAACATTGTTTCTACGACGACGATTTTGACAAGAATGTGGCTTGCGCGTACTTAACTGCGACGTGTGGGAGCCACGTCCGTGTTCAAGCTTCACCACAATCTTACTTGCGCAGGTAAAACTGTGGTGAAGCTTACACGTGTGGTAGGCCCATTAGGCGATCGTGCTGTAAGAGATAGTGACTACCCCTGGTATGGGAATACACATCGAATTTTGAAGGCTTCGTTGAAGTCAGCATTCTGTTTTATACAAGTGTTTGTCAAATATGTCATTTGTTAAATGTCAAAAAAGTGGCATCGCTATCAAAACGTCAATGTCAATTTCCTTTTCGTCGCTTCTTAGACCAAGATGGTAAGTTTATAATTTCGATAATTTTATTTCTACAAACATCCAATAATTCGTGCTGTATTTTGTTTCTTAAAAAACAACATGCTGAAGATTTTGGATAGAAGTATCTACAGGAAAGTATATTTTTGTATATGATCAATGGAAGGTGTTAAAAAAGTGATGATACACTCGCCGATCAAAACATTGCTTCATAAACGGTAACATTTATATAAAAGATGAAGATCCAGTTGTTCCGAAATACAGCAGCCAATATTTTTTACAATGATTATATATACTGTTTTTGCATTTTAGGCTCGAGGCCCCAAAAAACATTTGAAACGTTTGAACGCGCCTAAGGCATGGATGTTAGATAAGTTGGGGGGAGTGTTTGCTCCCAGGCCTTCAACCGGGCCTCATAAATTGAGAGAATCCCTGCCTTTAGTGGTATTTCTGCGGAACCGTCTAAAGTATGCCTTGACAAACAGTGAAGTAACCAAAATTGTAATGCAGAGGCTGATCAAAGTTGATGGAAAAGTGAGGACTGACTCGAATTATCCTGCTGGATTCATGGGTAATGTACATTGATATTAGCTATTGTTTTGATGTTTAAAACTGCATATCAACCAATAACAGATAAGTGTATCTGTAGTCATCGTTTACATGTTTGTACTAAAGTTTTCTCAATTTTTTGCAGATGTCATCACTATTGAAAAGACCGGCGAATTTTTCAGGCTCATCTATGATGTTAAGGGTAGATTTGCCATTCATCGTATCACTGCTGAAGAAGCTAAGGTAAGTTACATTTTCCTCAAGCCTTGTAGTTCTTCAATATCGATCTTATATTTAATTTACCTTATATCTGCATTTGCTAAATGTTTTATCATGATGAAACAACCCCTTCAAGGCTCTAAGAAGTTGTAGACTTGATAGTTTCCTTCATAATACATGAGTATTGCTGATTGATATCTTACTCATCTGATTGTGTCATATAGCCTTTATCGAATGTTGATGTTAGACAAAATCAGGATATATGTGTAATGATCAGAAAATATGGTGAATATTATAAATAAAATATTCAACATGCAACACATTTAAATGATTCTCCAAAGTACTCTGGCTAGTAATGTTCTTATTAAAATTGTAATGACTAGAAGTCTTTCATCTACCCTGTTGTATCTGTAGCACTATCTATAGAATGATGTCAACATGCTTGTTTATGCATGGTTTTTATTATTAGGAAGGGTCATAAATATGCTGCTGATTCTTGAGAATAAAGTATGTTGATAATTATATTTTTTGCCAAAAGGAAATTATTGTCCATTTTCTCCTGGTCTTTTTCTCCATACAATATATTGCAAATGTTGTAATATTCTGAGTTTACAGTTGTTTCACTTGGGATGACTGATTGCAATATGCCAACCAATTAAAAAAAAAAGTTGAGTGAGAGGATGTTAGACTTTGACCGATGTGCCTTCCTAGGGTCTTCTATTGGAAACTTTGCATTTTTGTTTCAAGGTCATAGTTACATCCCAGTTTTCAACTCCATTTTTAATTTTAACCATCGAGTCCAAATCTGTATCAGGATGATATTTCTGAGCAAACTGACAAAACAATTTTCTTTCTACTCGTCATTATTATTATCAGTTACAATGCTTTGTACAAGCCCAAACAAGATGTTGTCTTTAACAAGCTATGGAATCATGAATCAAACAATTTTTACATGTTTCAATTGGTTTTGGAGGTCAAACCACGTCCCAACCTTAGCTCGTCTCTAACCAACTCATTCCCACTTTTAAATTGATCATACCACTTACGAACAGTCTTTAGGGTCACCAAAATTATCACCACATACTGATTTCAACATTTTATGAGCTTCTTGAACACTTTTTGCAATTAAAACATTATTTGTTAACACATGGTTTGGAAACCATAATGTAGGACAAATACAGCAAAAGCAACCTCACTCTTTTAGCTCTGGAAGCTAATAGACATGGTGCAAACTTGTTCATATTAACCGCAAACTATCTCAAAGTATCAGGCTATCAAACATATCCCAAGGGTGAGGGAGGTAAAGGGGGTAATTACCCTCATCCACCCCACCCCCCATATGACTGCTATCTTTGTAGAAAATGAATGTATATTGAAAACATATATATGTAACAATTACTTTTGCCTGACTGAACTACTGAGAGTTCATTCACTATTTTTTGGTCACCTTATAATGCATTATTCTGTTTTTTGAACTTTTTAATGACTTGAGTCTGGCTATATGATGAAATAAAATTGCATAATTTCAATACCTTAAAAGATTTGTCTGATTTTTTAACGTTCATTTCAGTACAAACTCTGCAAAGTGAGACGTGTACAGACAGGCCCTAAAGGCATTCCATTCCTGGTAACCCATGATGGCCGTACTATCAGATACCCAGATCCTTTGATCAAGGTAAACGACACCATCCAACTGGAGATTGCCACCTCCAAAATCCTTGACTACATTAAATTTGAACCAGGCAATCTATGCATGATCACTGGTGGCAGAAATTTGGGGCGTGTTGGTACTGTGGTCAACAGGGAGCGTCATCCAGGATCTTTTGACATTGTTCACATCAAGGATGCCAATGGGCATGTATTTGCCACTAGGTAAGTGCTTTTGTTACCAAATGAAGTTTTTCTAAATTCAAACACTGCTGGAAAAATCCTTTGAAATAAGGAATTAGAGATCAAATTTGATGCACATTATAGTTTAGTTTTGGCCCTATCGAAGCTGTAATTTTTGTCTTTACCTGACGAATTATAGTCAAAGTGTGGCCTATATAGATATTCTGTCTTTTGGTCACTGATTAATTTGTAAATGGTTATTTCAGTATTACCCAAGTAGAAGACAATTATTAAATGAGATTTTTATCACTATGCATATTAGAAAAGCATGTCGGCACAATTAAAATTATTTCTTTTTTTTTTCTAGGTTAAACAATGTATTTATAATTGGCAAAGGTTCAAAAGCCTTTGTGTCACTTCCAAGAGGAAAGGGAGTGAAACTTTCAATTGCAGAAGAAAGGGATAAGAGGTTAGCTGCAAAAACACATTAAATGTTATAAACGTTTGATTAAAAAAAAAATTAAAAAAGTTTTATTAGTTCAACCCTGTACCCTATACCAGTTTGCAAACTGCTTACATTTGATATTTCTGATTGACTCTTCCTATGACCCATCTTACCAAGGCTGGTTTTTCCGAGTATTAAATTACTTAGTCTGGGCACAACACATCAAAAAAATTGCAGCACGGACCAGTGACGGCTAGTAATATTTCAAAATTCCCCGTATCGCTAAAGGACTCATAATTATGACGGATCCGTCAATGCCAGGTAGACAGAGCCATATTCTGTTTTGATTTTTTGTACACTACAGATTCATTTTGTACTTGCAAGAGTTCTTTTAGAAAAGTTTACATACAGAAAACAAAACGCTACAAACAAATTTTTGCTAAATTTACACCCGATTCATTATAGCCAACATTGCAGACTAACACAAAATTGTCACTTGTTGTTCAGCCCAGTAGACGTTAAATAGGCCAGTTAAATAGCGAAACTGAGACAAAAGTGATAACATAGCCACAAAGTTATTTACGCTGGCGTAATGCTGTAATAAAGGATTGCGAATATTGTTGTATGAATTTGGTTTTCCGGAAACCAGCCGTTTTTTGTAAATCAGCGAAAAACCTCTTTTTCGCTGAAACGGCTGAGGATATCTGGGATTTTTTTACACATAAATGTTTCTAATTTTTGGGCCATCCATAAAGGTTTCTACAAATTTTTCGCTAAATTACTTAGTTTTCGCGTTACAGCTTGCTGATGGCTTGTGGGCGAGGGGGTTTGCGGGGACAAAGGCGGCGTACCTGCATACCACCAAGCTGCCGCCACACCGCCTACGCGTTGACGACGCAGACGATCACTTACTATATGGTAGGGTAGGGGTTATTCAGTAATAGTAGAGTTGATTTCGAACCCTGAGCTCGCTTGTCAGTTTGGCGTTCACCGACTTTTACGAAAGAACTAATTTTCGAAGTTTATGCGTTTAAGTATGTGGAGTAATTTCTCTTCAATTGCTTGTGGATTGACTGGATAAGTGAGGTAAGTATGTGTACATTTTAGAATTGAAATTAAATATTTTTTTCCGTAATTTCATTGGAGACAAGGAATTAAGGACAAAGCCAACCTAAAATTCGAAAAGTTATCCGCCATGGATTTTTTAACGAAATTTGTTTTCATTTTCCAATGTTAGTATAGTATTTTTTAATAATAAGTAGTGCAGTCCAAATTCAGTATATGTTGTCCAAAATTCAGCATGTCTTGGAATTCCATTAGCACTATGTTCTGATATTAATAACAAAAATCAGACAAATTAGACTGACTGGATCGAAAATTGCCTTACACTTACTGGATACCGATTCTCACTGAAATTGTTTCTGTTATTCAATAGGAATAAAATGCAGCAAAATAGTAACTGCGCCATTTGCAGTTATCCGTTGGCGCGCGGCAATTGCAGGATCGTGGGGAAGAAGGGAATTAGTACACTGATCACACAGAGCAAACGCGTGGAAGACAAAAAATGGTTGGATTGGGAAAAAAAGGAAAAACTGGACTGCCATGAGAAGTGTAGACTTTCATACTCGGTCAGTGGAACGTATACTCAGTTTGCGTTGAATGCACCAAATAACAATGTCGTAGCTGCAAGGGATGAGGTTCCTGATTTCCATTACACGGATAATTGCTTCATTTGTGGTTTGAGTATAATAAAAGATGCGAAAACAAAAATCTGTACAGTCACACAAAAAGAGACGCGTGATAATTTGATTGCAATGGGAAAGGAAAGAAATGACTCTTTGGGAATTAGCGTTGTTGAAAGATTAGAGAACATTTCTTGCTTAATTCGCGTACAAGGCAGATACCACCGGACATGCATGTCTCATTTCAATGCGTATGGTTTTAAAAAAATATCGATGATCTAAACTGGTCTAGAATCGATTCATTGTTAGAACCTGTGTGGCAAGTTCTTGAAGAAGACAAAAGTGTTATTCATTATTTGTCGAAGTTAGTAGAACTTGTGGATGATGACTCTATAGATAGAAGGACTGTAGCAGATCACATTAAAAAACGTTACGGTGAGGAAGTTGAGTGCAGTATAATGGGGGGAAAAGATATACGTGTATGCTTCAAAAGTCATCATGTTTTTAATGTGTCAGCAGACCCATCAACTTTCACCTAACGGCAGATACAAGTTATTTTGCTTCAGGCCTCAAATATAATGCACAGAGAGATTCGTAGCAAGCAATTTGTAAGCGATAAGTACCCACCGCCCAATCAATTTGTAAGCGATCTTTCCTCCGATTATCCACCCCACTTTTCGTTCTTTATTGAGCACTTTCTCCTTATCGCTGACGAAGAGGAAGATAAAAAAGCAAAGTCTGTGAAGCGAGACATGATATCTCAATGCATACTTTCATTCATTCAGCCACGTACGTTTTTGTCCACCCTCCACTTGTCGATTGGGACATTGATTCTGAGAAAAACAGGTTCCAAGTACATCATAAATCTTCTGCATGCATTAGGGGTTTGCACTTCTTACTACAATATTGAATTGTATGAGGCTTCAACAATAGTGAATCCACCCAGATTGATCATCGAAAAACCTTTCGTACAATTTGTATTTGATAATACTGACCACAACGTCAGGACCCTGGACGGACGGGAGACTTTCCATTGTTTAGGCGAAATACAGGTTTACACTCCGGAGCACGAAATCACACAATGTGGAAGTGTCGAAAAACTTACTGAGATGCCTTCCGCAAATATGCTTGCAAAGCAAGAACAAATTCCAATCTTCCCTTACGTCGAGCCGCCAAAAGAGGGCTTGAAACTTATAGAATTCATGCCTCTATTCCCCCCTACTTACTCAACTTATTTGTGGGCTAAATACGTTGATCCTGAGAATGTACCAGCATGGCGAGGTTTCATGGAGATATGTTCGGAAAATGAAAGTTTCCAAAGGTCGGGGGTGCAATGCCAACAATACTTTAACGAAGTTCCATTTAGTCTAACAACCATTTATACATCAATCATGCATGCAAAGAGCGAAACCCGTAAATGTGGTCAAAAAACCACTATCTTAACTTACGACTTGCCGTTGTACATGAAATGTCGCGATATTATAGCGAAGTTAATGTTGCCCGACGTTTTTGTTCGCTTAGGCGGATTTCACATGTTAATGTCTTTTTTGGGAGCAATAGGTATTATCATGGGAGGAAGCGGACTTGAATCTATGTGGGAGCTTGCTTACGCTAGTGAATCCATAAAGAAAATGATGGACGGGCACAATTATTCAAGAGCAGTCCGAGCACACATTTTGAAGTTTACAGCTTTAGGCATCGTAATTTGTGTTTCAATCGAAGAAAAAGGCGAGATCAAAGGGGTTATCGCATCATTGATGCGTGTCTGGCAGAAAAATCCTCTCAAGCTAGGGGACAGTGACTCTGATAAGGACCTGAAGAAAATGTCTGATTTGTTTTATACAAAGTTGAAGCAATTGAAAAATAACGGCCAAACAGCCAAGTTGTGGGTGCAGTACATTGAAGCCGTGCTTATTGTCTTGCGTTTTATTGAAGCAGAACGTCTTGGAAACTGGGACCTTCATCCTATCACCTTGGTCAAACTCTTGCAACATATAAGGGATTCAGTTTTACCGTGATCCATGCGAAAGAGGATGCGGATGTTGAGATTGTGAGAACAGCTCTGAAGACTCATAACGAATTGTTTCGTCACGGGAAATCACGAGTTATAGTCGTCGGCTCGGATGTTGATCTCTTAATATTACTTATTGGACTCACTCCAACCTCAGAGAGCATGTACTATTACAAGATGGGCCAGGGGGGCAAGGCGAACCAATTGTACGATACTCGGGATCACAAACATTTGCAACCATTTCTACTTTTTGCTCATACCTTTGCGGGCTGCGACACTACTAGCTGCTTTTTTGGGAAAGGGAAGATGAAGCTGGTGAAGTTGCTGCTGCAGAACGACAGCATTAGAGCGCTGGCGCTGAAGTTTTACGAGCCGGACTGCTTGGAAGGCGAATTGCTGCAATGTGCAGAGACGATTACTCTCGCACTATACAAAGACAAAGAACAGTCTTCTTCTCTCGGGACTTTCAGATACAATTTGTTTTCTACAAACTTAGCAAAGGCAAAATAGGAAACGCCCCTAGAATGTCTCCCACCAACATCTCCTGCCTTGCTTCAGCACTGTAAACAAGTGTACTATCAAATCCAGGTGTGGCTTCAGCATAGATTAGATCCCTGCTTGTGGGGATGGACAAGACAGGGTAATATTCTCATTCCGATCATGTCTGAAGCAGATCCCGCACCAAAAGAACTGTTACAGAGGTATGTGTGAAATGTATTCAATTTGAAGCAATAAATACAACTTGCTACAACTAATTTTTACTACACTTTTGATCTCATGTACCTACTGTCTGACCGGAATTAAAATAATTTTTGAACAATGTGAGATCCAGTTTCAAGTCAAAATAACAAATTTTTAGACTGATCTATGGAGCACTATAAAAGGCCTGTCATTGATTTCCCTTACAAGACAACTGATATTTAGATTATAATAATTCTTATGATAACCTTTTTTCAGGTTTCCTGTGGATGCCAAGGGCCCTGCAAATCGAAGCGATGTAACTGCCGAAAAGCCGGTCTAAAGTGCAACCCTGCTTGCAAAGTATGCCGCGGAAAATCGTGCAACAACTCAAAGAGATGGACTGCTACAGAACACCATGATAGCGAAACTCCGACTACTACAGATGCATGTGAGGAGGACGGTGGACGGTAGAACCCGATAATGATGACTTAACAGAAGATGATGAGACCTCATCAAGCAGCCACGATGCAACGACCGATGACGAGGAAATTAACGAAGGACTTTAATGACTTTAACCTTCAATGATTTATCCTACTTGTAACAGATTGGGGTGGATATACCATTGAACTGTATATACTTTCAATTCCTCTTACATGCTATTGTAGGTTTCATTGGCTCAAGTGAGGGTTTTTGTACAACTATATGTGTGAAATGTAAAGTAACAAATGTAAAACAAACATATTTGAACACAAAAATAATTTGTTAACTCTATCAAAATAGAAAATATAAAAAATTGATGCAACTTCCAATTAATGGTTTGTACATAATTTCTTATCTCGATTAAAATATAATGGAGTAATGTTTTTCCACAGCGAGTGTGCAGAGAAGATATCGTCAAATACTCAACACCATCGGCCATTGTCTATTCTTTACATATTTGCGTTGGCGTAGGTCAGACCAACGTATAGACGCGGCTCAAAAACTGCTAAATCTCTTATCATGATCGTAGATTAACAACTACCGGTGATCAAACTGATTTGCGAGGATAACTATGAAAATAACGTGGAGCCTCGAAAGCGAGTCTTTTGATGACTCATTGGGCTTCTACATCCTGTAATGTATTCTTATCATTGCCACTCATTTATATACACGTTCACACCTTTTTTGCAGCTGTAGGTTTTTTATTGTTGTTCCAATTCTAAATGAAAATATTATACCTCACTTATCCAGTCAATCGGTAAGCGGCTGAAGAAAAATTACTGCATCTTGTACTCTAATCGCAGAAATTTCAAAAATTCATTAATATGCATAGGTCGGTGAACGCCACAACTACAAACGAGCTTATTATTCGAAATCGACTGGCCTATCACTGAGAGAGAGAGACACTGAGGACGTCGAAATAAAAGAGAATCGTTCGGCTTCAATGGTGCGGCGTCTGGCGACAGGTGTACGCGCGTCCCTGTCCCCGCAAACCCCCTCGCCCACAAGCCATCAGCAAGCTGTAGCGCGAAAACTAAGCAATTTAGCGAAAAATTTGTAGAGACCTTTATTGATGGCCCAAAAATTAGAAAAATTTTCGTGTAAAAAAATCCCAGATATCCTCAGCCGTTTCAGCGAAAAAGAGGTTTTTCGGGTTTTTCGCTGTTTTACAAAAAACGGCTGGTTTCCGGAAAACCAAATTCACACAACAATATTCGCAATCCTTTATTACACCATTACGCCAGCGGAAATAACTTTGTGGCTATGTTATCACTTTTGTCTCAGTTTCGGCTATTTAACTGGACTAAAAGCCTGATGGATAATCGTGAAATGGGTGTATATATACAGTGAAAGCTCTCCTTGCGGACAGCTCCTATAAGCGGACATCTCTTTTAACCGGACAGTTCCTGGAACCGAATTTCAGCCATCAATTTTCAATGTTAAATGCATTCTTATAAACGGACGCGGACACTAGATTTTCCTGTATGTGATCAAAAAATCTCCCATAAGCGGACGCGAAACTCTAATACCCGGACGATTTTTTAGTTCCGCTTATTGCAATGCACATATCTACATACATAAAATTCGGTAATTCCCCGATTTATATTAGGTGATTCCCCATTTACGCATTTCGTTGGGTAGCCTGTATGTAATCTTGTGGCTTGTCTTCAGTTCAGGCAAATTCGTAGTTGATTGAGTTACGTATTTTATTATTGTAACTGTAAAATGGCACCAAAAAAAAAAGGATGCTCTCGTTAAAGGAAAAGATGGAAGATGTTAACGTATTAGACAGAGAAAGTGTTTCAGTTCGTCATTTGGCAAAGAGGTTTAATATAAGCAGCTGAAATTGCCAAAAATAAGGAAGATATCAGGAGTAAATGGCAATCAGGAACTAATATAAATCAAAAGGATTTTTTAAAAAAGGAAGGTTTTGCTATAGACAAAACATGTTTTGAGTGGTTTGTGAAAGCTAGAAGTCAGAACATTCCAATCTCAGGGCCGTTAGTGAAAATGAAAGCTAAAGAAATCGCCACTACTTTGGGCTATAATAATTTCAGTGCGTCCGACGGGTGGCTGCAAAAGTGGTGCAAGAGACATAGTGTGAGTTTCAAATGCATATCTGGCGAAGCTGCTGCAGTAGATCAAGTTGATGTGTCACAATTTTTGGAGAAACTTCCGTCCATGTTGCTTGGCTACAAACCAGATGTGTACAACGCAGATGAGAGTGGACTTTTTTTTTGCGCATTGCCCGACAAAACTCTGTCCTTTAAAGGAGAAATGTGTGGGTGGAAAGTTGTCTAAAGATAGACTAACCATTTTATTCTGTGCAAATATGGCCGGTGAAAAATGCGATTTGATTGTGATCGGGAAAGCGGCTCGTCCCCGTGCTTTAAAAAACGTTGCTATTAAGGATCTACCAGCGACTTGGAAATCCAACGAAAAGGCATGGATGACCCGAGAAATCATGTCTGAATGGTTAGTCGAATTCGACCGGAAAATGAGAATCCAAAAAAGGCAAGTTCTTTTATTTTTAGACAATGCATGCGCTCTCATCCTCGTGATATGAAAATGAAAAATGTGAAAATTATATTTTTACCGCCAAACACAACTTCTGTTTGTCAGCCCATGGATCAAGGTGTCATACAGAACTTTAAATTTTATTATCGGCACTTGATTTTAAAACATATTTTAACAAAAATTGACGATGGTCAAAGCTTATCTGAGCTTACAAAGTCTATCAATGTGTTAGAAGCTTTGTATTTTATAAAAACAGCATGGAATAAAGTAAATTCCTCTACAATTAAAAACTGTTTTGGCAAAGCTGGATTCAGAAAAAGTGAATGTAGCTCAGAATTTGCTGAGCAAAATTATTGCGATGCTGAAGACGATCTGCCCTTAGCGACACTTGCTCAGTTACTGTGACATGCCAAACATTTAGGAGTAGCAGATCCCCAGAAAGTAGATGATTTCCTGGCCATAGACAATAACATAACAACAGAAGAAAATGCCATTGGCAACTTTTCGAATTTGGATGTAGAAAGCCCAGGCCAACTTGAATATGGTAGTCCAAACGACTCAGAAGAAGAAGTGGAACTTGTGGACTCACTAAGCGGTTCAAAAACGATAAATTCATATGGGGAAGCTCTAAATCATATTTCTATATTGAAAAAATCTGCATTTCAACATTTGAAAAATTTAGAAAGTTATTACGAAAATTGTCTCCTTCAGCAAAAGATGGTGAAATTTCGTCAGACAAACATTTTAAACTTTTTTCAACAAGCTAAAGAATAATGTTTTTTTTAAATTCTCGTACCATGTATTGAAGCATTTATGTTTTTGTATGCGTATATGTACATATATTATATAGATATATAGCATAAATACATACTTTAAAAATGTGGCGAGTTTCTGTTTCATTTTTCTCATGATTATAATACCTCATTTCCTCATGATTATATACCCCGTTATTTATACTCTATACTTACATACTCTCTTTTAAACGGACACCTCCCATAAGCGGACAAAAGTTACGGAACCGTGAGTGTCCGCTTATGGGAGCTTTCACTGTATATGCCTTTTTCAAACCTTAATTCTTCCAAGAAAATTACAGCACGATCAAAAAGGGTTACAGTATATTTTTTTCCAGAGTCGGTCGTCCATTTTGATTTTCTAATAAATATTAAAACAGTTTTTCCCATTAAGCTAGCACAGTTTAATTTTTTTATATGAGGTATTGCTATTAATGGCCATAATTACAAGGGAATATTTCTGAACCAAATTCAAGTAGATAAGTCCTAGTCAGGTTTCCAATATACCGGGGTGTCAATTTCAAAACAAATATGGCTTTTGACAGAAAACATTGCAAATTATGGAAAGTAAATATGTTCAGGATACCAAAACAAGTTGAATTAGACATTTTCATGAAATGAAGTTGTTTATATTTTTTCCTCGCAAACGGAAATACCAGGAGACAAAAAAGTTGCCATTAGCTGCTTAAACCTAAAAAATACAATTTTTTCAAAAAGCCAATGGCGTACATTTTTTGTCAATATCATTTGTGAGACTGCTCCCTATAGCGCCACTGGAATTCATAATTATACTTTAGTTGATGCTAGCTTTACATCTTATTGCAGTGAATAATGCTGGCAAAATTCAACATAGTCGGCACAAGGATCTTTGAGGTATTAATAAGAGACAAATTTGTTTGAAGCTTTGACACCCTCTATCTTGGGACACGTTTATATTCACTTTCAGAATTGAATTTGATTCAGGACTATGCCCTATCATTAAGTAATGCCCCATATGCTCTGTGGTTTTCAGTCTATGAAGCAGTTACTGTGCAACCAACCACATTGTAGTATTGCCTTTTTGCTTTTCTTTATTTGCTCTTGCACTTAAAATACAGCAAAAATCACAAAACAAAAGCAGCAAAAGTTGAAAAGTACGTTCCCGCGTTTCTGCAAAGAAAACCTTAACTCATGGGTAAGAATAATTCAGGTTTAGTCCTGCAGAAATCTAAATTGGTCCAGCCTCGATATCAAAAGTTTTGCTTTGTTTTGTAACTTTCTTCCAAAGGCAGCTTGGAAGCCGATAGAATTTAAATTCAGTGTTTGACATAGTAGTGATCAGGTAACCTTTCGAGATTTCAGCAGTCACATTGAACAAAAAAGTAGGTTTAAGATATCGAACATATACCTTTTGAACATCTTACAAATGTGACTTTTTGTAATAGAAGCTGAAATAACTCTGAACAAATCACTCCACCGAGCACGCGGAATTCGAATCTCTCCAAGTAGTACTCAATGTATCCATACTTGATAAAATATCCTATCGTTGGATAATTCTAACAGAATTGTATGTAAGAACAAATATACTGTTTTCTATAACAAACAATTTAGCTCTGAAGTCAGGACCACCTATTGCGCAGATTCAAAACAGTACTGGAACAGCTTCTTGGCTATTTCTGTAACAGTAACAATTACGATAGAGAAATTAATTGTATATTAATCGACGTTACAAAGTGTTAACAATTGTTTTTTGCACTGACACTGGAAGCTTGACATAATGTACCATTTCATTTTAATGGTGTCTCAAATAGCATGATATTAAACTTACCAATTTTGAGACTAAGAGAATCCAAGCCGGCCGATAATAAAGCGTAAAACCTCTTTGGAGTGGCATACCAATCACACGTGAGTGTTCCCCCTACTTAGCAGTATCATTATCTATTGGAGTCTGTCTGCCGAATCCACACACTGCCATCTATATATTTCAATATGTATTATTCTTAAATGCATTCTAATCGTAGGGTTCGAAAACCTTGTAGGTTGACTCCTTGATATAGGCGTTGCTAAACGTATTATCAACTATCTGAAAGGGTATGTCACCACAAGTATTGTAGTGACTAGCGAGTGCAAATCGTAGTACTTTCTAGGTGCTGCCAGGAAAGTGATACGTGTTTTGGTGCGCAACGAGTGATCAAATAACACATTCAGGACTGGGTGGACAGTACTCAGCCATTACTGCCATATAACTACAATGGTAAAATTCCCTAGGTTGTACACCATATTTAGTTTGAAAACACCGCGTAGATTAACAGCGGGTCAGACGAAGAAAACTTGTGTACTAACCTCCATGCTTTGGCATTCTGTTGCAAGTATTTTAGAAAACCTCTCCCAGACCGACCTGTGCAACTACAGCAAGGTTGTGTCTGCCTTGAAGCTGTGCTTTGGAGATTCTCATTTAAACGACTTTTACTACTTTTTTCACATTCAGTTAAAAAACAATATAGCTGCCGACGGAGGATTTGACGACATTCTCATATCAAGTTCAAATCGCAACCGTCATTTCGTCGACGGAATAGCTGTCAGGTTATCATGCTCTGACTAAGGCATTCGAAAGCAATTTAAGGGTCGTATCGTTCCTCCAATTGTAGGACTCTATGGCCTTGATTTTCATGTTTTGTTTACTGTTCCGTTTCAGCGGTCTACTTTGAGGTTAGGTTAGAAATATCTATTTGCATCAAATTATTCATGCTTTTGATGTATATTAAGTGTTATATCAGCCTGAAATTTCCTACATTTCAAAAAGTTAAAACAGCCTCACAAATGGAGATTGCTGACGGCTGTACAAATCTAGAAATACCCCAGCCTTTCTGAAGGAGAAAAAAGACTAAGGAAATCAAGGAGGGCATAAAGGCGTCCTACAATTCTAGGAATGACTGACAATAAGCCCCTAAGGCTCCAAAAATGTGTTCCGCTGAGCAGTAAGAGGTATGGAAAGCTATTTATAGTCTAAAAAGAAAATACAATTTCCGCTGAAAAAATCGCCCAGCTGTGGCCTGCGGAAGGTTTACCCGCTGGAGGTATCGACAGAAAGGACATTGCAAGTGGGCTGACCAATACGTGGAACCGAAATTGAGTCGGCAAAAATTAGAACCGGTTAGATTTGGAACGTTAAAGCTGGTCACGAAGAGAGTCCCACGGAAACAAATAGGGGTGAATCTCGAGATGATTCCAGAATCGAAACTAGTGTCGAAAAAGAATGAAGCCGAAGAAAACAGCAATTAAAGAAACAGGAAACGAAAAAATGAAAGAAAAAAATTGAGCCAAGAATGCGATGGAAAACGACCGTTGGAAGGTATAAGAACAACGGGAATGCACCATGAATGTTCTACAAATGGAGGAATTCCATCTTAGTGAAGTTAATATTTCCTTACAGTATTTTCACGCTTAGTCATCAGATTCTGAACTGAAGTTAGTTACTCCATGGCTACTAAAAGAAAGCAAGTCCAGTGCTCAGGAAATTAGCTAAGGGTCCCATTCTTAAACCTTGCTTGGAACAATGGGACTCATTGGTAATCAGAAATAACGGATTTGGGAGAGCACTGATGGACAGGCAAAAAAACTCGTGTTACCAAGAAAGTTCAGGAGAGCGATCATGGAGCAACTACATGACAGCAGCACCAATTGTCATTTGGCATCAAGTCACTGTAGAAGATGAAGGACAGATTTTACTGCATTGGTTGCCGTGAAGATGAGGAAAATTAGTGTTCGGCATGCAGGGTCTGCAGTTCCAGTAGAGATACAAAATAATGTTCGCCGTCGATCCCATTTGTATGTAGTTGGTCTACGATTTGAAAGAATTGCCTTACACATCCTAGGGTCTCTTTCACTAAGTGGCCAGAAGCAATTCCAGTGCCGAATCAAGAAACACAGACAGTAGCACTAGCTCTCTTAGACTATGTATTTTCAAGATTTGGAGTTTATATGAAGCTACAGTTGGATCGAGGCCGAAACATTGAGGTTTTTACGCAACTCATGGAGAAGCTTGGAATGTGAAAGACTAGGGCAACTGCACTTCACCCTCAGTCTGATGGCATGGTGGTACGCTTCAACAAGACAATACTGGCTTATCTGCTGAAATTTCTAGATGAACATCAGAGTGACTGGCATATCAAGATACCTCTAGAAATGTCGGCCTATAGATCGGCAGTGAATGGGTCTATGCAATTTACTCCAGCAAAGATGATGTTTGGACATGATCTGTGGCTACCTCCAAACTTAACTCTTGGCCACCCATCTGATAAAGGTCCCCATCCTATATCTATGTGGTTCAAGAAACTCTTTGGGGTATCCATAATTCGGCCAGTGACAGAATGAAAGCCAGATACGACCTAGAAAGTTACTAGACCAAAGTTCGTCGATGGAGATTTGGTGTGGTTCCACAATCCGCGACGAAGGAAAGGTAGACGTGATCTCCAGGAACTAGACGGGAAGCAGGACGCCGAAGGTCTTCCACGCTGATCGGTTGTGGACGTACAATGACAGGGGAGAACTGTCCAACAAGCTGAACACTAATGGGGGAAGAGAGTAAACACCCTGTTTAGTGCGGTAGGCCTCAGATTGAGTTCTGTCATGGACAATTCATCACAATATGAATATTATTTCATTTTTAACAGAAATTTGATCTATGCGTCACTGTCCGTCAGAGCGGTCCATGGGACATTTGCTCTTGGTTACAGTATTGTAGGTCTGTTTGCCCATATAGTAGGCAAGATCAGGGAGAATGAAGGGAAGAAAAAAGAAAGAAAGGAAGGGGAATACCAAATGAGGAAATGCGTCAGTTGAAGGGGTGCCTTGGCATTGTTAACTATTATTCGGTAATTTTAAATTGATCTAAAAATTAATTTGGAAATTTGTATGTGACGAAAGATTATAATTTTGGTTGAACCTACAATTGCACGACTTACGAGCCGCGGTCTTGTATATTTGCGAACTTGTTCGACTGTGTAGACTTCTGACTCACGATTCCGCTTGACTATAACGTACCTGCGCTTGTTTAATATAGTCCCTTATGTAATGGATGTCGAGGTCTCTGTGAATGTTATCGTTGTGACAGTAAGCAAGTTTCTCCAGCAGTCATTCTATAGAAAAATAGAGCGCAAGTCTTGTCGTCGTGTATCACTGTCGACTCTAAAGACGAAGTTAACTCTGTGAGGAAACGTTTAATTCATATTAAACCCCAGCGACATATGTTGGCGAAATGGATAAATTCACGAATTTGTTTGATAAAAATGTCGGCAGCTGTCAGTATTTGAGATCAATCGCCAGGGAAGAAAACCACTCACTTCTTAGGGATTCTACCCCCTCGTTTTCAAGATTAGGGGTCGTAAAAAACAAAAAATGCGGCGCGAGCCAGACAACGAGAATTACACATACCACATATTTTTGTCGGTTGTAGAAAAATGATTTATGATGTTAACGCATCAAAAAGCAATTGGGCAGCAAGTAGGTGAGTAATCTGACTGTCGCCGTCGCTACCTACCAATGGTTGCCAAGATGATTTCATCCTCAATCTATAACGTCAAAAAACCCTACGGCTTCTGGCTTACAACCGCTAGAAAACAAGTTTTGAAACTTATCATGTGGTTGTCTCTCTATTCATAGTTTTAATTTGACCAACAAATGTAACATATGATGAACTAATAACTACTGACGTTTCGTTGGCTATGCCATCTTTTTAAGGATATAAAATCTTCAAGTTTGTACTTTTAGAAAGTCTGCAGTAGCCGCGATTCCAACGGTCCCATCATCTATTAACTGGAAAGTGGGAAATACAAGTCAGAAGATTTGGTCATATCAAAAGCTTCACAAACTAGGACGGCATACATATATTTTGGAGAACTGGATTTGACATTTGTCTCATGGGAATAAGGATCATTGTACCAATTGCACAACAGTCTTCAAATATAGTTTTATTTAGAAATCAATACAACGCTCACCTTCAGTACAAACTGGAAAAATGAATCCATACCTTAAGGAAAATACAAAACGATGAACAAACTATGAATAGCAAACAAAAGTTATTTCTGAATGTTTAAAACGGCGTTATAAAAATGATACTTTTAACAAATAATCTTAACAAATGTGCACCATAACTTAAGAAATTATAGCTATATGACCAAGGAAATACAATTTCAGATTTTTTTTTTGGAAAGTCTATTTTCTTTCATAATATCACTTTTAAACGAACCAATGGAACATCAGCGTATTTTTGCGAATATGTTAATACACCTTCTAGATATCTACCTAAACTAAAGAATAGTCTTTATAGTTTTGCAGTTCTGTGTGGAACTCGAAAATATAAAATATACAGTTATTAGTGCTATCATCCACGTGAAGAAAACTTAAGCAAAAGCAAAAACTGTTATACTAATTTTTCCATACTAAAAATATAAGGTATGAAAATAGCACTACACTGTTTCATATTGCTGTTAGTGTATAGCTAGGTTTCATAAACTGATTGTAAATAGTGTGCAAAGCACTGTCACATTAAAAACTAATAATTATTTCCTGAAAAGCAAATGAGACCATTTCGAATTTAAACAATTGATTTTTCATGAATATTCGAAAAAGAAACAAGCATGATTAATTTCAGTTCGTGACGAAAATATAGTGAGTCTTCCAAGATAATATCTGAGGCAATGCTGCGCTAAACAGTTAAATGTTCAATTTCGTTCTTGAACTAGAATAAAGTATTAGTTCAAAAATAAAACAAATATGGCATAACTCTATTACTCTCTCCCTCTCTCTCTCTCTCTCTCCTTCTAATGATGAGCACTCTTCTTAAAATGGAAAATACTAAGAGTCGCTACAAATTTTATCATTTAAATATCACATGCAATGTGAAGTTGGCAATAAAAGAGGTAAAATCACATCCTTTTAGAATGTTTCAACTATTATAGTGGAATATATCCATTTTTAAGGAAAATGATGATTCATTAAATCAAATGGCATTTACGATACAGTAATTAATAATAAGAAAATTGAAATTTCACGAATCTAAGACATCCAATCAAGATAAAAATATCCAAAAAGGATTAGTGATCACATTCCAAAGCCACGCGATTGTACCTCTCTAGTAATAAAGTGAAGTTTACCAAAAAATATTCATTTCATTACATCACATCTTAATATAAACATTTACTTAAAAACAGCAAGAGCTTACAGTAAAAAAGCTCCGAGATTTACACATGAAGTGGCAATTTCCATATTATATATAAGTACACATATATGAATATGAATATAGTATATAAAAACCATATTGAAAGCAAAAATGTGCAACCAAAATGGAATCAGAAAATCCAGCTGCCTAAAGTCGGCTGTTAAAGAGTGAACAGAGAAATGTATATTTATTATAACCGATACATGTTAAACTGGAAATGCTGCGGAGCTTTCTTGCAAGTATCTGGAAAAACAAGGAATTATAATCCAACCTACTGGATATGTAGACATTTCAGCAAATGTCCAAAATGATGCAGCATTTGTGCAACAGTCAAAAGCCTCACTCAGTGGCTGAAGCAAGCCAATATGATATAAACACGTATCCTGGTTATGTTCATAGCCAGTTCATTTCATATAAATCATTTTAAAGACAGCGCTATGGTTCAGCCGCTGGTAGTGTCATCACATAATAACGGGTGTACCAGAAACTGATTTGTACTAAGAATCATTCTATGGCAATGTATGAGATTGAATCAATTTTTCCAACAAAGATGCATGTTAGCAGAATTAGAGTTCTACAAACTTTTGTTGACCATAATCTTGCTTTTAATCTACTTTGCAGAACTTTTAGGTTTGCATGTTCTGGAATTTTCGATTGTCAACACCAGCCTCTATATGTTGGCGATGGCACATAAACTGCATCCAAGAATAGTTTAGATAACATTTGGTAATTTGTTTTACATGTCAGACAACTATCTAGTTATGTCTAGTTTCAAGGCAATTTCAAAGTATTGTATGAAATACGGGCAAATAATGATAATGCTGTTTCTATGAAAGTAATAATAATCATAATTATGCATATTATAGTTTAGATGGTGGAATAAAATGCAAACAATTATTATTTCGAGTTCTGTCTGACGTAAGACCTCTCATCGTTTATGATTTAGGCGATGTTTGACAGATAATTTTCGAGTTTTTCACTGAACGTAATTTATTGGCCCATTCTGACGAGTAAGATTATTTTATTTTATCGTAGATAAAGGCGTCTCACACACCACAGTTGCCGTTGAGGTAGTATCACTGAAAGCCCGTATTCACCAATTTCAACCTACGGCACTGGTATCTTTAACTTGTGAATACCTATCTTATCTTTGTCTCATTAATAACCACCATTTTACCTTCAAAATCACTCGCACGTAGTCAAAATTCAACCCACCTTAGTCTTTCGCCATGCTAGTATCCATCGGGCTAGCAGGTGCGGGCGGCACCAGTTGCGGGGGCGGCGGTGTGGCTGGCGCAACGGGCGGCACCGCTGGCTTAACAAACCGTTCGCCGGGCGGTCGACGGTGACCTCCAGCGCCACCTGGTGACGCCTGGCTTCCCGGCAGCGGTGTAGAAGTGCCCGCGGATGAAGACATCAGCTGGCCGCACGAGTGACACCTGGGGGTGGCGCAGCCTACTAGCGAGTCGCGCGGAGATGGGGCACCCATCGACGATAAACCTGAACGTCATAGGCATAATTTTATCTTATTGAGGAACAACTTTGATTAAGGCGACTACATTGTCAAGCGTCCACAATAAATCGTCATGCTTAAGACACACAAGACTTTCACTTTTGCTTGCGGGATTCTAGACAGAAATCTATACAATTTTGTCCAGATTCTTATATAAAGTATAAGCTAGGGTCTTAATGGTCATCAAGAAATCTCCTGGAATGTAGAAAAGCTGATTCTGGGCATTTTTTTATTTAGCGCAAACAATTTTTGAACATTTGCGATAATTAGGACTAGGAAGGGACGTTTCTATGTATCTTTAGGCAAGACTCATTGGCGCCGTAGTTACGGCATCTGCCTACTCTCCCGCTGCCCAGAGTCTTAGTCGAATGTGGACGTTCCACCCACCAGTGCATGCTTAAGGAGTGTGGCATGACAAATGTACATTTGTTCCCCTCCTCCCTCCCATAGAACCCACTTAGACCTACGTCCATGTATGAAAAAATTATCTACGATTGCTAGTCAGGCCGTTGACCAGTCACAAAACGTTTAGGCGACTGTCAATCTGACTCCAGCTAAAATGTTGTGTTAGGAATGGCAGATGACAGCTAGTCTCAACATGACTATTCGATATCTTTTTACACGTTATCGTTGAAGAACATCTCTGGGTAGTAGATCAAAATCTATCGTACTTTTAAAAAAAGGTTGGTCTTGGAATAAATGACAAACAAGACCACATTGGAGTTGTGCAAGGCCGCGCTTCAGCGTGTGGGTGGGAAAATCCACTTCTATGAAATAATTGTGGATGCGTCAAGTTTGTAGAGCAGTCATCGCATTTGCGAGAAAATAATACTATTTCATTTTCCACATAACTTCAGACTATGTTGTAGTCACTAGACTTACTCGAGAAGTTAAATTTGCATCAGACACACATGTAAAAATTGGAGACATCAATTTGACAGTTACATGATTAAAAAACCAATGCTGTCACTGATGTCATGACATATTATAGGTGCAACAGTGAAAACAAGAATTGAAAGGCATCATGTTTCACAAATTTAGTATATCTGGAATTGTTAGGTTATTCGAATAGTTTGAACTTTACAGAACAAATATGTCAAAAACATAATCAATATAACAAGATAAAACACAATCACAACAATTGATGAAATGCGAGTGCTTACCTGGGCTCAATGGACGACTCTGACTTGGCGATGGATTGTAATTTGGAATAGGTGACACAGTATGTTGTCTAACACCTAGAACCTGCTCGTTGTAATGCCGCTCCTCTTCCATTTCTAGGGAACTCTCACTCTCCGAGAGGTGGCGGCATAACGCTTCTCTTCTTTCCACTTCCAGCTGCAGCTTTCTTTGGAGCCTGAACAAGTTTTTAGTTATGAGATTACATACAGCTATAGTTTATATAGTATAGCAGTTTCATGCGTCTGACTTCTGTACGTGCCACGGCACCTCAAGACATCTATTACTATAAAATATATAAGTTATTACATGAATACAATTTTGTGAAAAAATGCAGTAATATGAATTTTTCCATGATTAAGCCAGGTTGTATTCCAAAAACTACGATTTCGAAGGATACGTCCTAAGTTTACAGAACGCAGCAAAGTTCACGGCATTCCCTAGTCAGGTGAACTACCTTGACCTCGTAAAGAATATACGTAACAGCCTATTTCGCAAATGAAAAATACTGAAAAATTACAGGTTACTATAAACTGAAGACCAATGGTTGTGTGAATGGGCGTAAAGGTACCAAGTCGCTTCCCTTCGCATCGTTCCAGTAGGCGGGCTGTTATTTAATTATGTGAAACGGAACCACCTAGCGGAAGAATTTCTCTTCTTTTCTCTTCCCATCTCGTCAATGAGCGTGTGCCTTAAATAGACTGCTTACTACCCTTTTCATACCAAACATACCAAAATTGCATCTAATTCCACCTATTTCCCACAAAATTGGTGCCATGTTCTTTGTACTGACTTTGAAATTGACGGGAAAGACTGATTGCAGCTATTTTCCAGGAGCCCCAATTCCATGATTTTTATTGCTCTACTTTTACTTAGCACTTATAATTTTTTTTATTTCCTCACCTAAGATTTTCTTCCCTGATGCTACGTTCCTCCTGCGCATACCGCTGCATTTTCTGCGTATGTTCCTGCTGACTGACGGCCAACTGCTGCCTCAGCCTGGCTACCTCCTGTCGAAGCGTCTGGATGTGAGCGCTCAAGTTGACGGCCGTATCGCCGTTGCTAATGTCCCTCGGACTTGCTGGATCTGATACCGGTTGATCTAGCTTGATTTGTAAAGTGCGCTTCTCCGCTTCAAGTTTATCCATGCGCTTCCATAGCTTGTTCACCAGCGCCTCCTGCTCTTGTTCTAAGGTGTTCTCTAGTTCCACCTAAATAAGGAACACTAGTATGAACATTTTGAGGGCACTAAGCACGACCTAGCTATTTTAATCAATTCTCTTCATATACACATTATCCTGCGTATTTTGAACCTACTTACTGAATCACCATTGCCAAGGGAAAATATACTACAGACGAAAAAATGAGACAATGAAACATCAGTTTTCATTCTATCTTATATAATTTTTGACTGATCGTACGAAGATATTTTTCACATAGAAAATCTGGGTATGATGGGTGTCGAATACTTAGCTGGTCAGAGTAAGGGAAGTAGGTAGATCTGACAATCTCTGTTGTCATTTTACATAACTTCACTACCTTGCCAGAATGTCAGTTGTGCTACATATTTTCAAATCAAATTTCATTTCGTATAATGTAGCATTTATATGAAAACAGAGTTAAGCAGCGCGAAAAAATCAAGCTCTGAGTTTTTGAAAACTGGAAACAAGAAGTCAAAAATATACCCAGAATAGTTAAGTTTATAATCTGGCAACGTCATTATTCACAGCACACTGCTCACTACACTTTATTAAAATCTGCGTAACCGTTTCTGAGATTAAGTGCTTACAAAGGGCTAAAAAACAAAACTGACAAACAGAGATAAACCGATACGACGAAAATGAATGACACAGATATTTTTAATGGTTGGATCAAATGCTTACACTGCCAACTACCGCTTGTGGACATTAGGGGCTTTGAGCAGAGGAACATTTCGCAAAAGACACTAAGATATGGACAAAACACGAACGCACGACGTTCAAATTCACGCTCTCACATTGGCCAACGGGCCTTAAATGCCTAAGTAGGGCAGCGACAAGTGAATAGAAGCGGCAATCTAGTACTCATGTTGGTTTTTACGCGGAGTAAAACAGACATGTAGCATCTAACATATAGACAACTTATCAAATTTAATTTAGACAACAACTGGAAATATTTCTTCAATTCTTTAACAGAGTGTTTCTATTGGTCCCCTCCTTGCAACTGTCATACGGGCATTCTTCCTTGAATGACCCCCTCCCTCCGCTCTTCAATTTTCAATCACAGGTAGGCCCCCCACCCTACCCAAACACGGACATCTTGAACAATTTAGATGGGTGCTAGAAAATAATTGATTCTCAAAGTGGGCAGTAGACAAAATATGTAGATGGTATGGCATCTAATAAATATCGTATGGCTTCGCTGTAGGGCCACTTTGACACAAAAAAGAACGTCAATAATACGTTTCTTGTCGGCTAATTCGTCAGTATGTTATTGATCCTAACACATACAACATACAAGAAGTGTCCATTGACGTTTCTCACAACTGACTGTCGTGGATATTTTTGTTCTACGAGTCGAAATTTACAAAAGGAATTAGCAGAAAGCAAATTCCTCTATGGATTCTAATGGGTCCTTTACAACTTTCCATTCTCATATATGAATTTCAAATCATTTTCAGACTTGACTGAACAAATAATGCACTCTGAGTCTATCTGTTAATACGTAAATAAATTTTGTTCTAAGAAAAATGTGTATAAACAAATAATATGCTGATATGAGAGATAGCCAAGTGTTGCTATGTTTTTAAGCACACAATTATTGCTTGTTGTAAATTTACGGAATATTCGTATTTCAGGATCTCAGGTAGAACAGACGTGCCAAATTTTGTTGTTTGGTTCTATTTGAGAGCAACCCAGAAATATTGAAATCCTTTGTGCTGAATAAAGTAAACTGTATCAATGATTTTTAGCTACATATTTATTGTTCATTGTATTATAATTTGAAAATCATAATTGGATGATCAAGGTCTCATCTGATACACATGGCACAATTCTAATTAGATTTGAATATTTTTTATTCCAATACCACCCACACACATATCTGCATAATACTCTTGAATGCTCTTCTGTAAGACATCATTTACTATTTATACAGTTTTTATTTTAATGCAATCTTACAAACTTCCATACCGAATGCTCATTTTCACACTTGAGCTACCAGTTAATATTTAATTTTTAGCTGACTGTAAATGTAGTCACGTTCATTAACAGCCATATAAATTGGAGTTCTGGCCAAAAGTTGATCTCATCTGCCCTCAGTCATGCATGCTTTACTATTTATTGAGATATAGGATCATATTCAACTATTTTGTTGGACCTATAGATAAGAATTTTTGCATAATACCAAGTACATACAATATAAATAAGTTCCCTCATAAAAGAACGGATAGCCGATTTTCTTTTCAGATGCAAACAACAATCTTATTCTACTGTTAGAAGTGAGCTATTTTAAGCTTCATGAAAACAAAATAGTATTCCTAAATATATATTTGAGTGAAAACGACAATATTGACCTTTCAGTAGTTTCACTTATTTTAATAATGCGTAAATAATCGCTTTGAATACAAATAATAGATTAATTTTCATACTATTGCAAGTACTTTTACAGCCATACTTTACTACGTGCAATGAACATGTCATCTATTTTGTTCAAAAATTCGTGTATCGCATTACTACCAGCCTCTGTCTAATAATAAAATCAATCCATACAAAATATAAAGTCTTTGTCTGAACTTATGATATCATTTGGAGTTTTTTTGAAAATATCTAGAGATGAGTCGGCACTTACTCTGAAGAGGAAACATTCTGACACCAAAAAAAAATAAATATTAAATTTTATTTGGGTTTTTGAAAATATATCTTCCATATAGAGATGGAATCTCACAAGGCAAACAACATGGTGTCCTTGAGTTGTTGGTGTACTGTCTCTCGCATGCTGGCTCCATGAACAACTCATATGCAGCACTAACAGGTGAAGATTATTCTCACAGTTTTCCTCTTACTCTAGATACTTTGAAGAGCAGATGTATTAACTTTGCATTACAAATATTGTTTCTTGCACACCTGGCGTCATGCCATATAAACTCTCACTTGTGTTTTCTGTTTTGCTTTTGGTTTGGCAGGTTGTAAATAAAAAATAGTACAGGTATGTTTTTTCTCGTGCTGTTAAAAATAGCATTATGACTAAAAGGTTAAGTAGTTTCAAGTATCAAATCACGCAACATGCATGTTTCAAAGACAGTGCAATGTTTCTAGGGCAGACACAAAAGTAACACAGAGTTCCTATCAACATAGGTTCCTAAAGTCCCTCCTTGAGAGATATGTTTTTGAAAGTTCCTATGTAACTGAATGATTGTAGTTAGACGGAAAAACTTTCCATAACAGGTATCATGAAATTGAGAAATCTCAGCATGCTCTAAGAGTGGAATAATCTATTTGCGTTAAACGACACTTTCATTCTTGTTGAGAATATACAGATTTGATTAATATGATTAACAAGATGAAGTAAACACAGTTTTCATATCTATCACAATGTTGTAATAGGGATTGACGACCCACAGTATTAAAGACTAAATATACATTTTTTAATATGAAATGTTTTGTCTCTACTCTTACTCCATTTCTGAATACTGCAACAGAAACAATTGGTAATCATCCATGTTTGTCTGGCTACTAAATGAAACCACATATCAGCTTGAAATATTATAATTCCATCACAAGGCCATCATTTTTATTGAAATAACATTGAGGTAATCGCAAAAAATTTTGAAAATTTGATTATGTTTTTTGGATTTTATATGATATTTACATCACGAAAAACGATGTCAATAATTTTCGTGGATCTGTCTGTCTGCATAAGTCAATATTTTGACAGTTCTATCAGTGAATTCGTATATTTAGTGTTATTTAATAGTGCGAGCCTTATGATGTTAGACAATTTCAAGATATGGTACTTCTGACACAATTTGCAAAAAGTGGCGCAAGCCTAATGAAGGTAAGATGTTTCTACGGGTAAGTGTTATTATTATGATGATACAACTCTATCACTTCGGTAGGCATTGCATTGGAAGTACAAGATGAACCTACTTGATGCCATTTTTTGTCTTGTGTTGCATAACTTTAAAAAACGAATCTCTATCTGTTTACCTTTGCAGAGATTCAAACTTATTTCACATAATGATAATAAAAATTTATTCACATGAATAACAAATTGAGAACAAATTTATATGCCACAAAAGGAAAATATTCTTGTTTGCAGATATCATGCTAACACATAACATACATATAACATAGTTATGATAAACTGATAGGACTGGAGAAAAATAAAACTATATGATATAAATGTAACATGTACATTAATTTTGGATTTTAGACTAGCAATGAAGAAAATATATATGTTATTTTTTAATAATTACATCATGTTTATATCAGTTTTCAAAAGCCACTCATATAAATCTATTTTTAATAATGATATTCGTTTTTTTCTAATATATGTTGGTAAGTTATGATATAATTTTGGAGCTAAGTATATAGAAGATTTCAACATTATTTCTTTTTTTGGTGTTGCAAATAATTATTTGTATTTTAATTTCTAGTATCATATTCATAATTTTTATAAATATAAAATATAAATCATTGCATATTCTACTACTGGATTTAATGTATGGGACATTCTAAACTCAATTACTACATAATGGCAAAAATAAGTCTTAGTATGGCTGCTGTTGCCATCCTTGAACTCAATGCTGAGTTTGTCAAACTGATAAAAAAACTAAAAAGACAAGAATAATGCACTGACTAAAGAAATCATCTCTCAACTGCAAATATTACTTCATACCTGACAGAAAAGCAACTGAAACATTAAAACAAAGTCTTACCTTTTCTCTACGTAATTGCTCAAGATTGCTCTGTTTAGCAAGTGTTTCTGCTTCAAGTTTCTCTATTTTTCTCATCAGTCGATTCACAAGGCACTCCTGTTCCTGTTCAAGTGTTTGTTCTAAACGACACTTCTCCTGTCTAAGCTGAGTCAACTTCCTGGAAAGATCATTTGTCAAACACTCTTCTTCTCTCTCATAATGGTGAGCTAGTGATTCCTTCTCTTTCTTCAATGCTTGGATCTTCTTTAGCAGAGTGTTGGAGATGAACTCTTCTTCCTGTTCAGCTTTGGCTTGCTACCATTGAAAAAACATATTTTTTAGAAATGTACACATGAAACTTATCCTGTAATTTCCATGCTGATAGGACCCCATGCTTATCTAGTAGCTAAATGAAACCACATCATTTATTTGTACTTTGAAAAAGACCACCATGGTGACTTCAGTAGTAAAAAGTAATACAGATCTACCACTGTACGAAGACAAAATGCTTCCGTATTAATTATTTAAACAGTGATGGATATTATTGAAGCACTAGTTAAAACTAAAGAAATGAAATGTTGGGGGTACTTTCAATTATAGACTCTTTCAGGCTTTAGGAATCTACAATTATGATTGATCGACTGTATAAAAATATGTTACACTATTATAAAAAGAAACTTACAAGAAACATGTGATCTGTGCAAATAAACATTATAAGGGTGTGTAACATTTGAGTAGTGAGGCAATACTTTTAATACTGAGACTAAATAGTTCTACTAAATGCATAGAGTGAACCAATTTGACTCAATTCCATATCTTCTGAAATGAAATATCCTTTTGATTATACAGGTTATAATAATGAGTGATAACCAGAAATAAACACCTTTATACAACTAGCATTTGCATGCGGATGTCTCATTACTGAAGATTAGACATCTATTTGCACTAATTCCATATTTCTTGAACAGGTGCTGTATGAATTGCCTGATCTGTTCAATGTTATCTGTCATTTGAAATTTTAAAAACTTTGACATCAATTTACAGAAGTAACATATGTGAAACAGGGTATGCTGAGCTGATAGTTGGTAGAAGATTCAGATAGTAATATGCAGCAACTGAACTAAGCCACACTTTATGCAGACACATAGCAATTGAGTGCAACTGATTTTAACCAATGTATCAATCAGATTGTAGATTCCTAAAGTAAAACTGGAACTATAAAAAAGTCTTCTTTGTCCAAAACTTAGAGCATAACCCTTTATTGGCACTATTCCCAATATTACACATCTTTAAATTATTGCAGTCTGCTGAAATGTGGCGCTATTGCAGAATGCTGTGAATGTTCTGGAAATGTTATATCGCCAATCAAGGACTAATCGAACAGGGCATCTAACACTGCTTAATATGGTCAACTTGAGGCGTGGGCCACCAAACCATCAGCCAAATTTCGCAAATTGGCACTGAATCAGGTCTGCCTTAGTGATAACTAATATCTAATGAGCATATGGTACCATAAAAAAGAATCTCCTAAAATCTTTGTTGGTCTGGACTGGGTATGTTGGGGTTCTAGGACCCTGATCCATCACAAGTTTTAAGTAAAGTAATTTTCAATCAACACACTGCCAATGCTGTGTCACATGTAGCATGCATATATGCTGTAAGATCATTTTCTTTAACCACCAATTAATTAAGTAGAAATCTATAGTCATTTAATTGACAAAACAAATTTGAAGTTTATTCTTTGTAAAAGATTCTCCATATTTGAGTGTTGGCCTTTCATGATTTTCCAGTATGCAATTAACAAAAGGCAGGATGATTTTGCCAGACAAGTATTGAGATCTAGCAACCTTTGTTGGGTCACCTGGCAGAACTCAGATGAAAATGTCTAAGGTGCTAAGCTACCTCTAAGCTGAGGTGTTTCAATGTGTTTTCTTCATTCATTCAGAAAAAATGGGGCTTGGTCATAGACTTTGGGCACATATATTTTTAAAAATTAGAAAAGAATAAAGGATTGTGAAAAGCATCAACAAAAACTATATTGCTACTCACAATGATAACAGATGCCTTTCGCAGGTCCCTATTTTCTTCTTGTAGGGCCTTCACACGCAGCTTGTAGGTCTCCAGTTCCACTTTGAGCACGCGGTTTTGCTGCTGGAGGCTCTCAATTCTTTTTTGCAGCTGCTCCATGGTGATGGGGTTCGGGGGCATCATGATGGGGCCTCCGTCGATGCTGCTCGAGTCCGACTCGCTAGCCGAATCGGCCATTATCCTTTCCAGAGGCTCAATGTTTACGACTTGCGGCGGCCCTCCGCGTTATCAGAAGACGAGTGTGCGGTGTGGCCCGTGTGGCGTTCGATTTATTTTTGCCCGGCTGTGGTATTTAGAGCATTTTTTTGTACATCGGCGGCTTCGACTAAGGAGATCAGAGAGCGGTTGTTAATCAATCGACGGCTAGAAGTTCGTTACGCCCGTATGTGCAACCGAATTCCGATAAACATAAAAAATCTAGGTGGATGAAATTATAAATTTCGGTATAGACTTTTCTTGACAAGACGTTGACTGTCCGATCCGAGGAGAAAGCTTTTGACATTTGTAAATGTGAGCGTACAGGACTGCACTACATCAACACCAAACTTCCTACCTCAAAACATATACACTGAAGAAGGCTTAGTCACGTGCTAACGTGCTATGCATAAGGCACATTGAAGGCAACACGGTCGATTTATGTCAGTGTCAATCGCAATTTTTTCTAGATGCCACATGGTTGTCAGATTGTGTACGAACGCCGCATGCGACATTGCCAGCTCTTTGCATAAATCTGAGACTCTTGTACAATTATATGATATATGGAAGATTTCATAACGAGATGTGTTATTAACGTATTTTTGCTGTTTTGACAAATAAGTAATCACTTATCTGTTTAAGCAGCAGCGTCAGTAACACATGCCACTATAAAATCATCCATATATCTCTCTATAGCTATTTAAAGATTTGAGAACAGTAAAAGAATCTATACTTGGAATATACTTTTATCTAAATTTCATATTGTATGAACACATCAGTAATATTTATGGCCCAAATATTTTCGTTTCTGGTGATGGTCTTCTGCAGCACCTGCATGGAAAAATTGTTGGAATTAGTGATGAAAACAAATTATTTCAAAAAGAAGTAATAGTTATCATTAACAACTGTAAGGTTACTAGAGTTACCAGATTTTTCATGAGAATTATAACACAGGGATATCAAATCACATTTCCATAACAATGATAATCAGAATGTAAAAGTTTTACGGAAAATATGATTATATATAATTTATTAATTTTTACAGCATCATTAAAATATATCATACTTTTTAAGCTATTTATATTTACTAAAGTATTCATTCATATTGATATTCAAAATTGAAATCTTTGGAAATTGTCGTTATTATCTTATATCAACAACAGAATACCAAAATTAATAGAGGAGCGCTACAAATCACTCAAACTTCCATTAGCCATGATCGTGAAACACATTAGCCATTGTCCTATATATCTCTAATCACCATGGGTTGGCAGTGGAATGCAGCGCCTTCAACTTTTACTTTTTCAATGTTTCACAGCACTCCACATTTGTCACTGTTGAATCAAGTAGGAATCCTAAATAGTTGTAATGTTCTAATAAATACATCCTTCCATTTTGGAATCTCTTTTTCACTAAAGCTTTTTTCAAGCGATAAGGATGCTCCCCCATTACAATACCTTTGATAACAAAAGTAACTATGGCCTCCTAGGACAGCAAAAAGCACCGCTAAGCTAAATTTTGTGGTTTGTTTTTAAACAGTGCTAGTCAGCTTATGTATTGAAAATGAGTCGCTTTGGATTCTTTGACTAATATTGATCTGACGATCGAGATATACCTCCGAATATGACTAATCTCTCAGTGTATACAATGTGCGCAATTTATTTAAAAAAACATAGGATGTCAACCCTAACACACGACTAGATGAGTATGCAAGGCTCACCTCGTTTGTTGCGTAGATATCCTGTTTCTCTCAGAAGTGTTGGAGGTAGACCTAATGTCCACTTTGGAGACCCTTGACACCCACGTCACAACACTAAAACACCAAAGCAATACTCAGAGACAATCAAGAACACTATAGCAAACACCACTACTGAAAAAAAGTAGCTAAACCGAATAGAACTCTGCACGGAGCTGTGAACGCCTAGATATTCCGCTCCACCGACGGTTGCCAAGAGACTGGAGTGTGCGAGTGCACTGCTGTACCTCGCTACGGTGATACGGTACGGCCGGGTAGTACAGCCACGTCCCTTTATTCCAGCTCCCACTCCACGAGTCTGCTACCAGTGAACGTAAACATCGAGTCAATTCTGGAGCAGACGCGCGGAGTGGGAGCTGGAAAGGGGCGTGGCTGTACTACCCGGTCCATGCTTCAGTCTTTCGGCAATCGTCGGCGCAGCGGAATGCTACGCGTTCACAGCTCCATACAGAGCTCCTTTTGGTTTAGCTACTTTTTTTTCAGTAGTGGTGTTCATTATAGGGTTCCCGATTGTCTCTCAGTGGTGCCTTGGTGTTGTGACGTGGGTTTAAAGTGTCTCTAAAGTGGAAATTAGGTCTACATCCAACTCGTCTGAGGGAAACAGGATATATGTGCAGGAAACTATAGGCGAGCCTTGAATACTCATCTACTTGTGTGTTAGGGTTGACATAATATGTTTCTTCAAATAAATTGCGCACATTGCATACACTGAGAAATTAGTCATGTACTGAGGTTTTTGGGAAAAACCAAAATTTGCCTAAATCGTTTTTATTTTTGTCTGACTTTATTTTAAGAAATGTCAAAAAACTAATGGCACTATTTAGGCATTAAATGAAGGTGTTTTTAAAAAAGTGCTACACTGTATCTAATAACAACTTTTTCTGCGACTTCAACGATGTATCACGTTAAATTTGTTTTTTAGTTAAAAACAAAGGTGTTTTTTTCTACTTTTTCATTATATTTAAGTAGGCGTTGCAAACAAATGCTTAATGTAAGATTGTGTGATTACTGAGTTTAACCTAGTCTGACCCTTATCTTGGCCACCCTGTAATACATTATTATAAAAAGAAATTTACAGAAACGTTCTTGTAAGTATTCTTATGTACATCATTCATTCTGAAAAATCTCAAAACTATTAGCAAGGCCTCGAACAAAAGGTCCAAGGAATTGGTGATAGGAGGAATCATCCGATGAGCTGGCAACGCCGCAATCCAGATGACAATATCAACTTTCAAAACGTATGTCTATCCCGGGGTAACACCGACTCCTTTACAACGCCAATGCGGCAGTTTTCCAATCTTCATTTACATATTTTTAAGTATTGGGCAACGATTTCGAGAAAAATTCAGCTACGGATAGTCTAGTAGAGTATATTTCAATAGATGTCGGGTCAACCTACCAAGACAACAATTAACCGTCATACTTGTCAAAGCCGCCATTTTTTCTGGCAACACCCATTCTCACATATATGAGTTGACTCCCCATGGGTTATGTTACCAATTTTACTGATAAATTATAATTTTGCTTATCCAGCAAGTATCAGAAAATAAGTTTCAATCCGAGGTACAAGAGGTAAACAAGTGAATTTTCTCGTTATTTGGTGACACAACCTCCGGATATTCAGTCAAAAATTCTGGTTGATATTTTGACGTTTGTTGTCAAATTTCAGAATGACAAGTTGTTCACTGTTGCCGCTTTCCACATATTTTCACCGAACTACATTCTCTTCTGAAAATTATTTGGAAATCGACTATCTACGAGATACGCCAGTTATACAGGAGTATTACGTAACTTGAAAAGTGACATTTTCGTTTTTTTTTAAATTATGTAGGTGTTTTATGACAATATATGTCTTCCAACAAAACGTAAACTTGTAATTAGCTGTCCTTCACTTCATGCTTACTTATAGCAAGTGTGGAATGAACTATTTGTACACTAGCCAACTGAGTCAACAGGGTAGCACTTTATAGTGTTTTCGATATTATACAGGTTTTTTACGTAATAACAAATTTTGCAATTCCGAGTATTTCTGGAGTTAGATGGGAGGAATGTTTTTCCTAAAATCGTTATTTTCTTGTGACTTTGAGATGGGATTTCAAATACATTAACACTGTCAGTTTTTCTCTCTTGTCCTCAATCATATTTTTTTCTCATTTGCACCTGCAGGGGGCAGTGGCTCCCCCTGGGGACCTAAGAATTTGTATATTTGGCATTTTGTGTTCAATTTTGAGGTTCTGACACCCCCTACTCTCCCAAAAATTAAAATTTTTGGGGCAAGTACAGATTCACAAAGTTATCTCTTACCGATGGTCGACCCTTTCGGAGAAAAATTCCTGCGGGCACTCATTTTTCTTATAGACGCCGTATTTGATTTTTTTGCACAAATGAACGTTTTCAATTCTTTGACTTTTTGGATGATATCCGATATTAGTCATTTGAATAACTTATTTTCAGTAGAGCTAGATCAGTGCTTGGATGACTTTTCCATCATCTTGTTGTCTCCTAGATTCAGAGCTTGCGCGGAAACGCTGTATATTATGAATGTAGTTTTTGTTTACCCTATAGCACTGTGACTGGGGAATTATTAAAAATTGACATTTTTAAATAAAATTAATTATTTTAATTTTAACCTAGTTAACAATATAAAAGACCAATAATTATAGATGTCAGTACGTTTCATTCGTCAATTTTTTGCTTTTTCAAACTGGGGCCAGGATTTTTATTCTTGACGATCCGTTTCGCTTTTAATATAGAAAGCGTGTCCTTGTTTGTTTGCCTTGGAAACTCGCTGATGTCTGGCTTGGGATTCAGTACGGGCTGCACAGCGAAATCTGAACTCGGAGCTAGTGACGATGGTTTTATTGGGGAGGAGGATTCCTGGTCTCCCATGTCCACCGCACTGGAACCTCTTTCCGATTCTTCTTTGGCCGGGTCCTGTTTTATCGACGACTCATCTTTTGATGTTAAACTATCTTCATCTGCTTCTTCTTCTTCTTCTGCGGTCGCTTCTTCTTCCATTTCTTCATCTTCTTCATCTTCAAAACTTCGTTCCACCAATTTGCCTACATAAAGTTAACTATGAATACAACATATTTCAGATATCAATAAAGGAATTTCCAGACAAGTTAAAATTATGTTGAAGTCATCCTCAAGTGCAATAATACGTGATTCATGTGAAACATGAACGATAACAAGGGCAGAGCAAGCAAAGCTGGATATATGGGTGTTAAGGAAGATTTTTGGTGGAAAAATGTTAGATGATGACACCAAGAACAAATGATGAGTCGAAAGAACTGTTCAAAGAGCCCAACATAACGGCGGTCATAAAAGCTTATAGGTTGAGATGGTTGGGACACGTGCAAAGAACGGCAGAACATAGAGTACCGAATGTAATGTTTTTCCATTAAATAGGAGTTGAGAAAAGGAGGCAGACCCAGGACAAAGTGGGAAACTGAGGTTAAAGAGGGCCTGAGGAAATTAAACATAAATCACTGGGAAAGAAGAGCAATGAATAAAGAATGACGAAGGATTACTGATCAAGCCATCAGCCTACTAGGCTTGTATTCGTAATTGGCGAGGAAACTGAAACCCAAACACTGTTGGATAATGTTTAACTTGTTGATTTACTCTAATGAGAATCTAGGCGACCAGAGAAAATGTCTTACCATTCAAAGTCGGGAATGTTATATCTGGCAATATCCTCACGTCTTTTCCATACTCTCTCATCAGGGTTCTTATTAAAATCGCTATATCTTCTCTTTTCTTTGTTACAGTTATTTCTTCAAACCAGTTCTGTATTTGCTTGATTGGCATATGGTAGTCCTTTATGGGATCCTTCATACAATATAACATGCATTATTAATTGTAAAATATCAAGCTAACAGTATTCATAATAAGCTAAGCATTAAAGTTTGTGAAGATAAACTGAAGATCATGAAAAATTATGAATAGTTATTCATATAACCATAAGTGTAATGTAATAACACTAGTTGTTCGTAAAACGACCTTTGTACTATAAAGAAAAAAGTTATAACAATAATAGAACATACCTTGAAAAACTGTTCAACATATTGCAAAACATATAGTCCACAGTCTGTGAAATTATTTTGTTGTGGTACTTTCGGGTTAGCTCCCTTGATAATGTCCCTGTTGTAGATCCTGTCGGTACCCATTTTTGCTTTATATTCACATGTCAGGTAATCTCTAAGTGTAGCCACCACTCGGTTTCTACTAGCACCAGCCAGTGAGTCAAATATCAAGATGCAGGGCCTGTAACAATAAATGTTGATGTGTATTCTCACAGCGACAAATACACATAAATATAAACTACCATGACAAAAACTGTTAACAATGAGTTCAGAAAAATTAAGAGTTCATCAACTCCACATCAAGTTTTACCTCCAGCATATTTCAATAAAAATTAACTGCCTTTGGTTGTATTACAACTAACTAGGATTATACATATAACAACTAACATTGTCTACCTGCCTTTGACTGTACTATAACTACAACTGAAATGCTCAGATCCATTTGTGTATTCCTCCACATTTGTCTAACATTGTATTCTGAAAAACATCTGAGCATATGGACTGTACCAAAATGAACTTTAACTTTAGATTCTTTTACTAGCAATGGCAATATCTACGAATTATTATTATTTTTTTTTGACGGCATCATCTTCTAAGGTTATTAGCCGTATCTACGAATTATTATATTGGCTACTGTACTAGCTATAATCAAAATAATTGATATCACTTCAAGCCTGCCTCCACATTTGACTAGCAGTACATTTTCATTAATATTGCATGTCCACGTTTGACTGTGCTATAACCGAAAAACAATATAGCTGAAAACAACAAATGCAAGACAGGTCTTCCTTCGCGACTGGCTATCACTGTGTTTGATTCAACATTATCTATCCACCTTTGACCGTACTATAATTAGCATAAAATCCACCTTGAGCCTTCCTGTACAACTGGCTAGACCTAGACAGTCTACATTCCTACATGTTTGTAATATAACAAAACTCACTTCCGGATCTGAATCAAAAATTGTCTACCAGTACTATTATGTATCTAAGTGGTTAATACGGAACGAAAGTATACTTTAATTAACATCATTGCCCACCTTGTAAGTAATTAAATTAAACTATAATATATTCATCCAGTAAGAAACGGAAAGCAACACAATTGGCAGCACTGAAATTTATTCCCTTATATTTGGCATCACTGACAACACTATAATTTAGTGTTCTCTAATATTGGCAACCCTGATTTTAAAAAATTACAACAAAAAAAAATATTTAAATATTTAAAAGTCTATTTGACACTGTTAATCGAATAACAAGGACCCCCAACGAACTGAAAAAAAGGAAACAGGTTATCAATCCATATATTTCAAGAAGAAACATGGCAACACCGTACATCACTTTACTGAAAATAGGACAAGCTTAAAGGTTATTCTACAGTTGGCAACACTTGTTTGTATACACTGCACGCACATATACAACTACATAAAAAAAGAACGTGTATAGTCCAGGGATACTGTGTATAGTCCAGGGATACCAGATAATGACAAAAAAAAACTATTTTTTACGGTGTTCGTGTTGGAGTTGACGAGAGCGAGCGTAAAATATATGTATGTGATATAGGGTTAAATGCCATAATATTGCGAAAAATCACTATAGTCCAAAAACTAAGGACATTATCATTCTAATTGTAAACATGGTATTGTTCCAGATCTAAGAACCCTTTTGTTTTTGGTTTTGTTGAACAGAGCATTTTACAAAAAAAAAGCTGTTGAAAAGTGAGCAATGCAAAAAGACACAGGTATGGATATGTTTTTAAACGAGTTATAAAAATCTATAACAGAGTAAATATTTTGCCAATGGTAAATTAATAATGTTTCAGCAAGTCTTTTCATTAGGGAACTCAATGAAGCTTTCAGATTCTCAAGAAGTAAAATGATTTAACGCTCTCATAATAAAAACCTGCAACAATGATTCAACTTACTGTTTTATCGGAGGCCGAGGCTCTTTCTTAGTGGAGGTATTCGTTGTTGGTGTGGTAACAACAGTGGCAGGTGAAGGTGCAGCAGTACCTGTCACTCCTCCTGATGAGGTACTTCCTGTCGGCGAGGGTGCCCGAGACTCGTCGGACTCCAGATCACTTTCATCGCCTTCAGCTTCATCCTTATCACTCGAAGCACCGTCATCACAAAGTATCGCTTTTTCGGCGGATGCAGTCTTGTCCTGTTTTACAGTCGCTGTTGGGGTGGATGGTCCGGCTGCTGCCGGATTTTTCTCTAAAATAATAAAAACATATTTTTACAAAGTGAACCAGAAAACGTAATTTTATGTCCAAATAAAAAAAGGTTTTCCCACATGCGAAATTGGAAAGTGTCACTTAGTATGCTCAACTGACATATCAACTAGATTCATGTATAAATTTGTATATACAAAAGATAGAAATGCATACAATCTTTCAATTTCTTGAGAGTTCTAGGCACCTTTCTCTAATTTTTAGTTTAACATTATACTAGAATTTCATAAAAATAAAAAATGTCAGAATGAGTATCTACTATGTGTAACATTGTCATTCATTCAAGCTGAGAACTTACTTGTCCTCTTTTTCACTTCGATCTTAATAGGCTTGCCATCCCATGTTTGACATCCATCCATTCCAGGGAAGCAGATGATTGCCAAGAACCAATGGGCATTCTCATTGATTGGTACAATGATGAAATCTTTTTCAAATAAATTAACTTTCTTTGTCCATGTCTTCACTCTAGCATGGCGCTTTTGTGCGGGCGATAATGTGGGATCCAGTTCTGTCGGTTGGCTTTTCCTAAAACAATTAAAATTATTTCTCAACTGTCCTTTGATTGATATGAAATATTAGCTTCTATTTTGATTCTGACACTCAACAAGCGACATGATTTGATAACTAGTATATACAATTTTTGCAGATCTTTGTAGACGATTTTTACATGTTTGATATGTTTGAGCAGTGTATATTATCAGGTGTACTAGATTAAACCAATGCGTTAGATCACTGTAGATTTCCTTTGGGATAAAATTAGTAGAACATAAACATTTGGAAGCTTCAATATTCAACAGAATGCAATATAAAACCAATCAGCGTCGTCAATCGTGTATCTATGCAGCCTCCCCTTAAAGTAGTGTCTCTCTGTATTTTATACGCAGAAACATTGGCAACACTGCCGTAACACTATAAAATATATTTTTTTATTTGGCAAAACTGTGATACACTATAATTTTAGTGTGATCATAAGTTGGCACCACTACGTACAATGATATGAAGCAATTTGGCAACACTGCTACATTTATATAATAAAAGTTCATAACCTACAGTTGGCAACATTGATAAATACACTAATGATGGCAACACTGAAATTACGTCTTCGAACATTGTTGCCATATTCACTAGAAAAATTGTTCCATAAAAAAAAAACACCATCAATATTATGCATTCTAATCATACCCAATTATACAAGAGACTACCTAAGTAAGAAAAATCTAATAAATTGATGTCCACTTCGATAATTATAACAAATTCAAGAGGAAAACCAATTTTATAACATTGCCACTCGGTAACATAATATTGCAACAGCTGATAAGAAAAGCAAAAAAGGACGTATGTACAGCACAAAAATCTAAACATAAGAAAGAAATAACTCACCTAGACGCTTTTGCGGGCTTTGTGGTTAGTCTGTTGTAAAAAAATGTAGAAAAAACGTGCACTTTGCACCTTTTTTCTTCTGGTAAATTTTCCACTAAATATTTTAAATAAAAGTCGATTATCACATCATTTAGAAACTGATCTTGTGCCAAGCACAAGTAATCCTCGGTACTGATGGACATTCTGCCTCGGCCCTCGGGTGGATAGGTTAGAAGTTGTTTGATTTCCGTGAAGGCCCTGAAACAGAAAAAAACGAAAGATTAAAAAATGGGGCACTTAATAAAGCGTGAATTTTACTGAAATTAACTTACAGGGTTTGCGGATCGTATATTAAGAGTTCATTTCTTATTTTAATTTGCAGTTCTTTATCAAACATTTTCGGTTTTGAAGGGAACATAACCTCAAAAATCGTCGAGAGTCGATATGATAAACGTGTGTTACCACTACAGCAATAAAAAAATTACCTATGCATAAAATTGAAGTCATAAGGCGGTTTTGAATTTTGAATGAAAAATGAGAAGGCACTTGTATATTTGGAGGATCACTGATTAATAACAAGAATAAATTACTGCCATCAACTTTGAATTCAACATTTCCTTGTGCAATAGTTGGTTTGAAAATATAAATTATTTATGGACATCAAAAATGTATACAGGGTGATTGACAAGTCGTGACCAAAAATGAAACATCATACACAGGATCCATTTTAATGGGGGTCTTCTATGTAACATTTTTTCGTGAGGTATTCATTAGTACAGTGTTGAAGTTTAAAAATGAAAAACATTTTTTTAATATATTCAAAAGCGTCAACTGGAATGAACTAAAGTTTGGTTTGTGGATTTACCTAAGTATTGTCCACATTCAAAAGTCTTTACTTAAAATTAACGTGCACCAGTGGCGGAAATACACGGGATTAGTGCCATTATTTTTCCAAATAAAAATAATACGCCACTGTTTTTTTCGAAACGCGCAATTTTTCGAATTTTGCCTTAAAGTTGCAACAAATAATTACTCTTGTTTTTTCCTAGAGTGCATTCTTTTCGTAAAAATAAAAAAAAAAAATTAGATAATCAAAGCTTTCTTTCAATAAATGTTCAAAAAGACCACCACTCTGACGAATACAAGTACGGCATCTTTTTAATAAAGATAAACGTATTCACGCAAAATTTGTTGTGGCTTGAATTTGATGAAACGCATTATCTATTCTTTCTTGTAACTGATCAACAGCAAAAAGAAATCCTGGGGGTTCAAATCAGGAGACCTCGCAGGCCAATGCTTTGCCTAAAATGATTATTTAACCATGCGGTTATGTCACGACGAACATGCGGTGGGTCACCGTCGTGCTGATACCACATTCGTACTCTCCTAGCTAATGGAACATCATCTAACACATTTTCTATGTAATTCGCCAGAAAAACTAAGTATGAGTTTGCATTTAAACTTGTTGCAATACGTACATAAACAGTTCGCCATTGAAAATGCCGCACCAGACATTACTAGAAAAGATGTGTTGAAACGAGTGGATTCTTACAGAACGACCAAATCAATAAAATCTGCATTTTGATTATGCATTTGCACTAACCACTCACAAACATTTCGCTGTTGCACTTCGTCGCCGGGTTGCAGAGATTGCACATTTTGCAATGGCAAGGATGTAAAACTTTCAACATGGTAACTGGGCTGCATTCCGCCTAGTACTTGTACTAGGATCATCCAACGCCAAATTAATCATTTCCAATTCCTCTTGAACATTATGCCGGACACCATGGCATCTAACTCCGGGAAGTTTGGCAATTCCATATTGCCGAAGTCTTAGAAATGAACCCTTAAAAAGCTTAGGGGTAGGTTGGCGTCTGTGGCAATACGTTCATGAACAGTTGGCATTGAAACTGCCGCACCAGACATTTCTAGAAAAGCTGTGTTGAAACGAGTGGATTCTTACAGAACGGGGATTTTATAACGACCAAATATGTTCATTATGAGAAAGGTTCCACTCCTCGTAAAAAGCGATTCATATCACAAAACCAAATCAACAAAATCTGCATTTTGATTGTGCATTTGCAGTAACCACTCACAAAAATGTCGCCGTTGCACTTCGTCGCCGTTGCACATTTTGCCTATGGTAAGGATGTAAGACTTCCCGACTTAAAATTCTCCATGCAGGACTTTAGGAGCATAATAACTGGGCTGCAATCCGCCTAGTACTTGTACTAGGATCATCCAACGCCAAATTAATCACTTCCAGTTCATTTTGAACAGTATGCCGAACACCATGCCCTCTAGCTCCGGGAAGTTTGCTAAAGTCCATTTCACAACACTCAAAAATGGAAAAAAGAAACGTTTGACTTGACCTTTACAAAAAAAAGGTAGTAGTAACGATAACAACCGTATAACTCATAACTTTGACATACCATCTCCCAAGAAACGTCAAGTTGGTATCAAGGCCTCCTATTTTATTTTGAAACTAATTGTGTCTCGGCTCTTGATGAATGATCTATTTTGTTTTATTTTTATTTTTACGAAAACAGTGCACTCTAGCAATAAACACAAGAGTAATTATTTGTTGCAAATTGAAGGTAAAATTCGAAAAATTGCGAGTTCCGAAAAAAAACTGACGTACTATTTTTATTTGAAAAATAATACCACTAATCCCCTGTATCTCCGCCACTGGTGCACGCTAATTTCAAGTATGTAAAGACTTTTGAATGTGGATAATACTTAGGTTGATCCGTATATCAAATTTTAGTTACTTCCAGTTGACGGTTTTGAAGATTCATATTAAAAAAATTGTTTTTATTTTTAAACTTCAACACCCCGTATCTTTTTAATTAAGCCATTGAAGACCCCCATCAAAATGCGGTCTAATGTATAACAAAAAAATGCTATCAAGTAGGTTAACTCAGTACTTCTCACTCAATCAGTTCATTACAATTATGTAACAACATTTTGATTTCAAATAAATGAGAAGATATTTATTGTTTCCAAAGAATAGCCTCGCTTTGTATAAGTGACTTCTATTTTTTGTATTTGTCAAAAGAGAACTACATTGTCGCGACCACATTATATCACTTGATAACAATCTTAAACTTTTAGAGACAGATCTCAAATTTGATAACATTAAACTGAAAATAACCTCGATTTATAGACCTCAGAGTACATGTCCACACGAGTTCATAGAATGTCTCGACAATTACCTCTCCAGAATTAGTAACACGTGTGTGCATGTGCTGGTTGGCGATATAAACATAGACATCAAAAGTAATAGTAACTTATCAAGCAAGTATGTTAGTATGCTGAGAAGTCTTGGATTTCTATCTTATATAAATGTTTTCACTAGAGTACAGGGACAAGCTAATTCCTGCACAGATCACATCTTTATTCGAGATTCATTGCCTACTTACAACTATACTCCAGCTGTCATCCACTCTGATATAACCGATCATTTCCCAGTGACACTCCAATTGCGCACTCAAAATAAGCAACATGACGGCCATAATATGCTATATAAAGTATATACTGATAGAAATAAATTATTCAACAATGCCATAGCCGAAAATTGGCTTAGTGTTTATGTTGCAGACACGATAGATGCAGCGACCGAAAGATTATATATGTACACAGAGCTCAAAAATAGCCCAACTGAAGATAAAAAAACCAACTACAACAACTACAGAAACAAACTTGGAGTTTTAATAGACGCGGCGAAGAGAAGCTACTACCAAAACGAGCTGGAAATAACAGATCTAATCCAACTAAGTTGTGGAGGTCCCTGAACAAATTGACAGGAGGCAACAATCAAACCGGAATACATGAAATAAAACTAGATGACGACAATAAAAGCTCGGACAGAAAACTGGTAGCAAATATGTTTGCCGATTATTATGCACATGTAGGTGAGACTCTCGCAGATAAGCTAATTGAAGATATAGACACTAATACAAATTTTCCACAGCACTCTCAACAAAACTCATTCTTTCTTTATGATACAGATGATGAAGAAATAATTGAAACAATAAATTCATCTGAAATATCCCCATCTTTAAAATATATTTTCAATAAAATATTACAGAGTGGATATTTCCCAGCTATATACACTATATATATATATATATATATATATAATGATCATGCGGAGAAAGGTATATAACAAAAAGAAGGAAAATAATGGGCAAAATACGCAAAAAGGAGGAAAGCGGATTCAAGCAGAAAATAGGATATTTTCTGCTTGAATATATATATATATATATATATATATATATATATATATATATATATATATACATTTACTAGAATCATAAGTTTTGCTGACGGGACGGACATCATATACAGTTCTCAAACCTGGGAAAACCTAAAAACTCTAACAGAAACAGAATTTTGCAAGATTATCAAATGGTTCAACTCTAGACTTTTAACCGTAAATTACATCAAAACTTGTTACATCCCATTTTCATCCGATATATGCCCCAATATTCAAATTTAAACATAAAACTGGAGAACCACCAAAATGAACAATTACAACTAACTTCTTCGCGCAGTGTAAAATATCTGGAAGTGTACGTAGATTCTACCCTTAAATGGGACACGCACATACATTTCGTAATGAAAAAATTGCATACAATACTTTACAAATTTAAATATCTTATGAAATACTATGACTTCTATCAAATGAAAGTACTTTATTATTCACTAGTTGAGAGCCATTTTAGGTATGGTGTGGGGAGCAGCGTGTAAGACACACATGAAAAATCTTGAGACAATACAAAAGTACATTCTAAAGGTAATACATAATAAGCCAAGAATATACCCAACAGAACAATTATATACCGAAATTGGAGTGCATGATATTCGACAACTCTACTTCATCCAGACCATAATGAAGCAGCACCAACTAAAACATAAGTTACGCCAAACTGAGCATGACTATGATACCCGCCATAAAGTGAAAGCATGTTTACCAAAGCCTCATGTCAATGTCATGCAGAGATCATTCCAATACCTAGGACTGAAGCTTTATAATAGTTTGCCTATTATCTTAAAACAGTATAATTATATGCAGTTTAAAAAAGAACTACAAAAGTGGATTAATGATATACCTCGCCTCCACATACATCAGCAAATTCTTTCAAATATATATAAAAACGATTAAAACCTTTTTTTTAACTGTCAAGGATTTTTTTCTAAAAGTTCTTAATATATACATAAGGTTAAGCATATCCAAGCATGCAGCAGCTAAAGCAAATGAACTTCCTAATATGACATTCTCTGATTCGTCGCACACCCGGTTATGACGATTGTACCTATAATGACAATTATACTGATATAGACTGAATATTGGATAGACATCTCACCACGCACAGGCTTTGCCTTCTGTGGGTATTTCATATTTATTTGCATGTTTTTTATTTCACCTGTAACATGTGTAATTGAACTGAAAGCAAATAAATATTATTATTATTATTTCACGCAGGCCATCTTGTCTTGTAGGGCCATCTGGGCATAATGGAGCTTGGGGCCTGCAAATGAAGGAGCTCCAGGACACAGAAAAATGTGGGGCACTACTTTCATTTAGTCTTGGGCATTGAGCAGAAAAGGGCGTCGAGTCTGGGACGCTGTCCGCGTACCTTTGTGCCGATTGTGTAAAGACAAAATAATGAATTTCATGTAATACGGGTTAAGTTTTTATAACAGTGAATAATTATAAGACAATAAACACTTTGATGTCCAATGATACCATGATTGAAACATATTATTCTAGAACCCATAAAAAAATTATGATTTGAACATTATAAAAAGGCGGTGACACATATGTGAAATTATTATTTCAACAGAATATTGATATTTTGCCTCCAAAAGATATATTTCAAATGTATGTACTGTTTTCTATAAGCAAGAAGATGATAAACTAAACCTCCAATACTCAAGTGTAAAATTTTGAGCCAAAAACTAAAGCATAAGTTCTAGCATGGCTCATGTTTTTCTACACCCTGTCCTTAGAATGCGACTACAGTCCTACCAAGGAGGTTATGCTTCCATATGATGCGAGAAAATAAACCTTTACTCTCTAATGCTAACAGTTTGAGAAAATGATTGTATAATCTGTGATGTATCTTCTATCAGTATCTGGAATAAAAATCAGATCCTACTGGCCGACTCATCCGTCGAGAAATATCAGTCAAGTATCATGTATGCTTAGCCTAGTTTTGATGACCTGGGGATGGGGATCTGGATGGTGATTAGCATTAATTATTTTTTTACTTTTTCGGATATTTTACAAAGATTTTGGTTTTAAACACATATAGTAACCTTGCTTATATATGCTTGAAAACGAAACACATTTTCACGGATTACTCATACATTGTTTGTCCGGAAAGTAATAGGACCGAGTCGATTTAAAAAAGTTTATTGATCCAATCGTTACAATTCTTTAAAAACTTTCAAAATAGGCTCCTTCTGCGTTGATACAGCGCTGCCAGCGCGATGTCCAAACAATGAAGGCGACAAGGAAGGCATTCTCCGCACTAGCCTTGAGAGCCGCCGTGCATGCTGCTTGGATACCTTCCGTCGTCTCAAAATGCTTGCCTTTCATCGGCCTTTTCAGGCGAGGAAACAAAAAAAAGTCCGGGGGAGGGGGGCACATCTGGGCTGAAGGGCGGCTTCGGGAGCGTTGGGATGCCGGCCTTGGACAGGTAGCTGTTCACAAGGAAGGCGGTGTGAGCCGGGGCGTTGTCGTGGTGTAACTTCCAGTCGGCTGCGATGTCTTGTCGGACCCGACTGACCCCTCGTTTGAGTCTCCTGAGCACTTGCACGTAAAACTTGGCGTTGACGGTTTGTCCAGGAGGAATAAATTCATGGTGGACGATGCCTTTGATGTCAAAAAAGACAATGAGCATCGTTTTCACTTTGGATTTGCTCATTCTTCCCTTTTTTGGGCGAGGAGACGCCGTCGTGTGCCACTCGGAAGATTGCCTCTTTGTCTCGGGATCATACTCAAAGATCCACGACTCGTCACTTGTGATTACGTTATTCAAAAATGGGGGGGCACTTTCACACATGTTCAAATTTTCTTGGCACACTTCCACTCGCCGCAATTTCTGGTCGTCAGTGAGCACTTTTGGGACCATCTTCGCGCACACCTTGCGCATGTTCAAATGCTGTCACAATGCCATGAACCACGGATTTTGGTAAATTTAACATCTGGGCAATTAAACGAATACTTAGTCGACGGTCTGAGTTCAAAACTTTGCGCGCACGAGTCACATTATCGGTGTTTGTCGAAGTCGAAGGTCTTTCAGCACGGTCTTCATCAGCGACCTCTTCCCGGCCCTCCAAAAAGACCTGGTGCCACCGAAACACACCACTTCTTGCTAAAGCAACACCTGGGTAAGCCTGCTTGATCATATCAAACGTCTCTGTCGCAGGTTTATCGAGTTTCACACAGAATTTAATCGCGTACCTATGCTCTAACGAACGCTGCATTTTCGGCTTGCACCACTCACAGGAACACGTCGCGCGAAAATGCCTGTCTTGACTCTCCAAGTGCTCGGAGACAACTGACCAGCCGCTCATTCGTTAGCTAGGAACGCCCTCTGCCGAATCCAGTCGGTGCGCGCACGCTCCGAAGTACAGTCATGGCGGAAGAAAATGAGTCCTATTACTTTCCGGACAAACCCTGTATATGAATAGTCGTAGAGATGAATGGCTGGAACAGAACAATACCAATATTCCAAAATCACATTAAAGTGAGCAACACACAACAGACAACACCAAAAACTCAATGTTCTCTTCATGGATACATGTGTCATGGACTATTAATTTAATTTTATATACCAAAATTTCAAAAGAACAAAACAAATGAACATATTAATTATTAATATCCCAAGATTATATTAATTGAATCAGCATGACAAAAATTTGCTTGGGTAAATATTATGTGCTTCAAATTCCTCTATCCTAAGCTTATTCCTTAGTTCTAGACTTGATAACCGCTGCTATTTACGTAAGCATGGGAGGAGGGTAAGAGATTCGCATACTTTTGCTACTAAGGGGGAAAGGAGGGGGGGGGGGTCGATCAATGTACAAATTTCAAATTCGCCTTTCCTAGTACACAAATGAAAAAGAAAGATAAATTCATATAAGCAGTACACATCAGCTATTAAAAATGCAGTCTAGATAAGGAAACATCCCAATGACTCATTTTGCGAATGATGAACTGACTACAACACTATATATACATTTAACTAAAAAAATCATAAAGATACTACAGTAAAAATGTTCGGCTAATTAAAAATCAAATCCTATGGTAAAATTCCAAAGTTTCAGATCTTGCAATAACTTACCCAATTCCTAAGGCAGTTCTAGTAACGTCTTTGGGACAAGTCTTGATCAGGATATCATTCGCTTCTTTGATATTCAGTTCATCCAGGATGTTGTTCGGCGGCCCAAATATGGTCTGTATAACCTTCTGTTCATCCTCAGTGATGTCATCAGGTAGAAAAGTTACCCTGCGGAAAGATTCGTCTTGCGAGGAAATGGGATCAAAATAGTAGTCCCCATCAGCAGTCATGTCTAATTCAGTCCTAATTTTCTGTGCTAAAATAGGGTTTACATAGAGGAAGAGTACAGGCAGCGAAGAATTGAAGCTGGCCAGTACTTTTACAACATTTTCCCTTTCAAACACTAGCGTCTTTATATCCTTATCATTTGATGGGTGTGGTACCTTAAGCAGTATGCGGATTGCGTTTATAGACACCTGAAAAAGAAAATGGTAATTGAAGAAATAAGAGGATTTTTTTTATCTAGTCTACTATATTTTTAGCCATCAGACACTGAGCCAGCCATTTTTACAACAGCAGAATGTTTGAAATCGAATATCTCAAAAATGTTTGTACAGAATACCTTTTCTAGTTAAAATCATCAGTATAATAATTTTCAATAAAAATAATAGAACGGTAACTCTCAGCACTATGTTAAAAAAGTCATATTTCCTATTATCTAAAATCTCCGATTTCCAGTCTCATGTCGAATTTATAAACGCTTTTTGACCTATAAAGAGGAATACCTAAATCAGCAAGTTCCAACATCCTGAATCTCATTAAGGAACGAAATTTTACTAATCCATATTTTTGGCTCAGTATCATAATCAAGGATTATTTTTGACAAATTCATTACTGATCAAGTTCCATCAATTAGAGACAATGAGTAGTAGTAAATAGCTACATAATCCACACATATGATTATATGTCACTGTCTCATGAAACACTCACCTTTTCAGCTGGAATACATCTATATGACCCAATCCTGATAGTTCGGAATTTCATAGAAATACCAAAGTCATTCTCATCTAATTCTTCACTTGATGCTGAAATTAAAACAAAAGCATATGTTGATTGAAACGTAGACGACTACTTGATATTTGATCTTATTAATGACCACTCAGTTTAGCAAAAAAAATCCATTTTTGACGTGTTACACTGCTTTAACTTAAATTCACATAAATCTAGTTGGCATTGTTCCTATGCTAAGAAGAAAATTATAATTCATTATCAAAATTTTGGAGTAATTCAAATTGGTATGCAGTTGGAGGAGTTTTCGAAGACTATCAAGTCATTCTGTGAAGTAGCACTCAGCTGCTGTATTTCCTACCATATGACCAGATGGAAAAATATTTCACGTATCATTCTGTTCTTAGCGCCCACATTCCAGATAAAATGTTATAACTTACTTCTTCTCAGCGAGTTATGCCTTATAATTTCATTTGATGATGGTTCCTTTGTCACAGGACATATTGTGACTGATGCTCCCAGTTTTTGAATTATATTATCAGCCTGGAATAAAACGAAAAATATTAATAAAATGCATCGATGATTTTTGTGACAAAACTTCTTTAAATCATTATAAGACGGATTCTACTCGAGATTATTTACCTAAATGACGAATAGTGGAGTGATTGCAAGTAGTTCACTTTCGATTTGATATCTGTGTGCAATTATACCCCCACTGAAAAACTTCACATTTCAAATTTGAAATACAGGGCAACCACGCGAGGAAGTGGGGAGAGGTCTTGATCGACGCGTTCAGCGTGCGGCTTAAATAGTCACAATGGAACGTTTGACCCGAGCGCAACGTGCTATTGCTATCGAGGCTTACTTTAAGAGTGGTGATTCATACGCAGCTGCCCTTCGGAAATTTTATACATTATCCGACCGAGAGACGCCCCAAGTAACAACCTATTGAAAAAGTGGATTAAGAGGTTCGTGAAACAGGCTCTACTCTTAGTCAATCCATTCCTGACCCCACACCTACTGTATCAACCGAAGAAAATGTGCGGCGATTAAGTGAAATCTTGTGCTGAACGGATGTTGAATATTTTTCCTACGCAGCGCAGACTCGAAAACGGTGTTTTCAGTGACGAGGCCCATTTTCACTTAGACGGTTATGTGAACAAGCAAAATCACAGATATTCGGCACCAACGAACTCAAAAGAGAAACACCAACAACAGCCACAAAGTCCAAAGGTGACTGTGTGATGCGCCATATCCTCTAGCGGTATTATTGGGCCGTATTTCTTTGAAGATGAAAACGGTTATGCATTGACAGTCAATTCCGGGCGATATAAGGACATGATCGACACTTTTTTTTGCTCCTATTGTAAGAACAGAACGTCGATTTAACAGAAACACATGGTTTCAACAGGCTGAGGACACTGCCTATACTTCCATGGAATCGATGTTCACGGTGAAAGCACTTTTTCGAAGTTTGGAGACATTCACTGGCCTCGTAAAAAGTATATTCCAATAATCCACGAACACTGGAAGAGCTTGAATGTATGAATCTTGAAATTAGAGGCATTCCGGCCACCATAAGGAGCCAGTGCATAGGCCGCTTAAGCGGGCCCTTATGCACCTCTACAATCCTTAGATCACAAGGCTCGCCCTTTTAGCGAAGTTGGGAATCGCCTTGAGTCCAAGCTCTTTGACGTCCTGAGGGCCCAGTATAGTCTGCCTATAGTAGCTCAGAGCTTCACAGCGACACAAAACGTGCGCCGAGGTCTCTTCCTCTACCCCGCAGCATTCACACAAGAGATCCTCAGCCACCCCCATCACGTGCAGGTGACGCCTTAACGTGTTATGGCCAGACAACAGTCCTACCAGCAACCTTAGGTTGGCTCTATCCAGAGATATGCAGAAGCGTCCATCCTTAGCACTGGGCCCTTCAATGAGTTCCCGTGACTGGCGGAGATGTCTGGAGATACTTCTCCATTTCTGAGAGTGTTGTCTTGCAACCCACATCGAATTGCGAGCCTTGCTAACCTTGTATTCAACATGCTCTCTCCAGTTCAGTTTGCAATCCAGGATAATTCCCAGATATTACACTGACTGGGACAAAATTAATCTAGTCCCAAAGAAGGTCGGCATGACCAGCCCGTCAAGCCTTCTTCTCCTAGTGAATAGGATCAGCTCGGTCTTTTCAGCATTAACAGAAAGATCGACTTCCCTACACCACAATTCCACAGAGCGCAGAGCGCCCTGCATAATTTCCGAGACTGTTCTACAAAAACGCCCCTTAACTACTATACTTACGTCATCAGCATAGGCTTGTACGTAGACACCCATACTGCTGAGCCTAACGAGGAGTTCGTTCACCACGATACACCACAGTAAGGGTGACAGAACTCCGCCCTGAGCGCGGCCTCTAGCTACGGAACAGTTTAGTTAACATTCCACCAGAAATAAACAACATCACTCTGGAACTCTGCAAGAGAGTGTTTCAGAATTTGCGCGCGCGATTAGAAGAGTGTGTCCGAAGGGATCGCAAACATTTGGACGGAATGATATTTAAGAAATGAAACCCGCCGAATTTACGAATATGTTGATAGTAATAAATATTTTCTTTTCATTAAGTTTATTTTTTTCCTTAAATCAAAAAGTGAACTTTCCCACTGTATACCCTGTACATAGGAAACTATAAGGGAAAGGCAAAAAGATAAAAAAATATATTTGACTGTACTCACCACGTTCGGTTTGTCTTCTTCCTCTTCATCAGAACTTATCACAACACTTTCCTGTTCTACTGACTTTTTGTTAGCTTTCTTTTTGACACCACCACTAATTGTTTTGACTGAAACAGGAATTTGTCAATTTACTTGCAACTATATACGCATGAAAGTCTTTTGAAGAAGTTTTATCTCTATGAATAAAATTTTATCATACGTTTCTGTCACCTAATTCTTATCCACTACCACATTTATAAACTTCAGCTGTCCTTACTTGTCCTGATTGTGGACACTCTGCTCGTGATTAGATATTAGCTACATGTGATATTGCCAAACGCACTGCTGAAACCGTTTCTTTTTCGAAATACTAATATTTAATTGATGAATTCTCTGTAACTATCCTCTGGTACCAAAAAGGAAGAGAGCAGCAACACATATCGCTACTGATGGGTTGGCTTGCATTTTAATTGACAATGTCCGTGCACGCGTATCCAGCTGTATTCAAGGTGCAGAGGAGTGAGATATGTTTTGCTGCTCTCTTCCTTTTCGGTACCCGAGTTTATTCGATTAAGATTCAACATCATTTGGTTCCTTACTTGTAATATGTGGTTTATTCTGTTGCAATACCGGATTCACCGGAGTTGGAGGAGGTGGTTGTGATAGCTGTGGTACTGGTTGTTCTTTCTTATGACCAAGTCCAGCTGATCCTGAAGGCCGAAGAGTGGCTGGTATAGCTTTCACGTTGTCAGGAAGCTTCCTATTACAACTGCAAGTGGAAACAGAGAGGATACATAAAACATATATAACAACAAACTTACTGAAATTTAGCTTGTAGACTAGTTGAGCAAATAGGTTATTCATATCGTATGTTTACAGACTGTTTGAAAGATTTTCATAGAACTGTTACTAACTCGGAAATCGCATATTTATTATTTTCTGCAATCGGTCGTGTACACAATATATTTGGCAGTGACTGAACTTTCTCATTTTATTTGCAGTGATGTTCTCAAATTCCACAAAATCTTATGATTTTTTGAAGTAGGAAGCATGTTAAGTTCTAGATAAATCCAATGTGATTTAGGTGTACTTTATCAGATTTCTCCAAAGCACCATACTTTTATACATGCATTCCGATCAATCCAAGTCTAATGGAGTTGTTTCCAGAGCTAGAAAAGGTTCTGGAAGGAGGTCAAGATCGATCGATTTTCAACTTTTGGGACTATCGGTGTCTGTCTATCCAGTCTGGCAGCATCACGCCTGAACCACAATACGGAGTTACGGAAAAATGTGTACACTTACTAACTGATACCCGAGGAAGATTATTAGCATGGTTTTATCCGCAAACTCATAATAGATTTTGCACTGACCACTATTACGGCAAGTACCAAAACCTCTGACCGAACCGATGACCGCCATAGGATATTTTTTATTTTGCAGTAATTGCGTAGGTTATGTGTTTTTAAGGAGTATTTGAAAATAAGTTCTAACTATTGATTAACGTATTCTACCTGAAGAAGCCAACCTGATGCTATATTCCTGAGTCCAAAAAATTATCCGAGGTAAAATATCTTCTATCAGAATTTGTCACAGCTGTTCCTCTATGTACTATATATACTTTGAGAAGATTAGTGTCTCGTATGTCGATATGAGTACATACAAGCATATAGGTAGCTACACAGCCGTCTATATGAGACACTAACCTTTTCAAAGTATACAGACAACACACATATTGCTCGCTTCGCGCGCTTCTCTCTCGTACACATCGTCGGCGCAGCCAAATCTGAACCTCACCATATATAGCAAATAGTGAAAACAGCAACTTCTCATAGATGACACTACGGTATCTATTTTATTTCGGATAATTTTTTGGACGCGGGGATTTAATCAAAGGTTCTAATATATTGTGATAAAGACATTTTATTTTGCAGTAATCGCTTAGGTTATGTGTTTTAAGGAACACTTGAAAGTGTGTTTTAATGTGATGAATAGTGCTTTCTTATATATTTCAAATAAACGGTAAGTGCACAGACGACTCTATTATGATAGGAAAATGCATTCAGCTGCTTTTTTCACGAAATTTCCAAAATGTAATTTTCAGTCAAATATAGACACGACTATATTTTCTGTCATATATCACAAAAAAAGTTGGATGCACATAACAGTATTATGGTCATCAAATTACCAACATGTGTCTGGCAGAAATGTTATTATTATAGTAAGTCCTGTATACTAATTTCACATTTATATTTTTTCTTTTCAAACGTATTTTGCGATTTAATTTCTGGCGCTTTTGTTGAGTTTTAAAAACTCCTACATGTACCTGAAGATGGCGTTTAAGATGACCGAAACCTTGATTTTCAATAAATATTTCAAGTTGACTGAATCTCAAGAATTTACAACGTGAATTTCCAGTAGAAGGTTTTTTGTAGCTAAGAGATTGCTGTAATATCTTTTTATGATCTTTACAACTTTTAGAAGTTTATGTAAAAACATATTGTTTTGTTAGCAGTGAAGTTTCTTAATTAGAAGTATTTTGGTCTTAGAAAAACGTGAAGACGCATTTTTCACGGACTTTTACCCCCTATTTCGGGTAAGTCCGCATATATCCGATATGTTTGTATAATACTTCAGTAAATATCATTTATCATAGAATTGTTTCTCATATATCTTTGAATTATTACAATTTCCATGCAAAATTGATTATTATTCTATCGGGGGTGATTAGTGTACATTAGGAATGGCGGACTAGATTTCCCCGCACTTTTCGGGTTTTCAATAAGTATTATTTTCTTCAAATCAGAGACCTGCTTTTAATATTGTCCTCTATGGAAACGATAAAAACAATATACAAACTCACCAAAACTTCACCTCAAAATCTGAAGAAAATCTACCGCTTTTTTTCAAATATTTGGCTCCAAAGTTGATAATCCCGCGATTATTGCCTTATTGATATTCTACCACATTTAATTTTATAAATAAAAACAACTATAGAAATTAGGGAAAAACTGGAAGTGTGTAAGTTAAGCAATGTTAGTGCAGAATTCTATCTCGATTATTTCTTAGTCAGTTCATAGTTTCTATCGTTGAAGATACAATTGTTGTATGAAGTCAAGTGGCATCCTGTTAGTGAGAAATTAATTTCATCTCCGACTGTCCAGATAGTCCCAACTTGATAAATACGTTCAAGGTGGCGCTGCAAATCGCTTACCGTATGCACTTGTTGAAATCCTCAGATAGATACCCACATGCGCCACAAAGCGCCAACATGCCAGGCACGAACTTAGGCACCTCTTTGGCAGGTTCTGGCGAGGGCGTTTTCGGTGGCGTTGAGGGCTGTTCGCTGACCGCCGCAGGCTGTTGGAGGGGGGCGGGAGCATGTGGTGGGGGCATCTGTTGTAATGAAGACGGAGGAGCAGGTGGCGGTTGCAGTGGTTCGACTGCGGAGGACGATGAGGCATCTTGCGTTCCAACAGATTGATCAGGCTGGCCTTGGGGTGGTTGTTCAGACTCTTCTTCTTCCTGAAAAAGGCGGCATGGGTACACTTAGGGTATATGTAACTAATTCAACATTGAAATATACATTCTATTGTGCCATTGTTATGGTGGTTCTCAAGAAAAATAGAGTCGCAAATTCAATCATGAAAAATGGTTAGGCTTAGAAACTATCAAACAAAGTATGACTGACAATGCGTTAGACTATTGTAAATACAGGTAAATGCATATAACACAGTCAATCTGTAGGCGCAACGATGCGAAAATGTAAGAAATTAATACCAAAATTCAGGCGGTGCGAAAACTAAATTCTGAGTCTCCTTAAGGAGTAATAACGAGGATATCTACCATGCATTCAACAAACTGCAACCACGAAAAAGACGATGGCGCCATGGTGATGCCCTTGCATTTTGGTTAATGGACATGGGAATCAAATAAACACTGGCACAAATTGGCCACTATGCGTAGCTGTGTTGACTTTCCCATAGCTATTGAATCTCAAACTCCATGCATGCCCTCTACCCAGACTAGAATTTTTAATATCTGTCCCACTCACTAGTTCTCAACAGCCATATACTCTCTTACAGATGCAATATACACTTAGGATTAATGAGTATTTTATATTGTTGTTACAAAATACACATAATATTCCAACTCACCTGATATCTTAACGGGAGAACATTGCCGACAGTGACAATATAATTAATTCCATTTGAATTAGCTTCGGTGACCTGAATGTTTGTTTCAGCTTGGAAAGGTACATTCACTTGCTCCAATATTTCTAGGATAGTACAAGCTTCTTTAGGCAATGTGAATGTGATTAATCTCTGTTCGCCATTTTCCAAAAGTACTAACATTCTAATTGAGTCCGAAAATTCTTCAGTCATTGCTGTACTCTCTGAAAATAAGATACAAAGATAATGGTTATTCGTTTTTATAGCAGTCGCTAAGCATTCAAACTAATATTAAATTGAAATCAAACATTTTTACACTTTTCATTTCAACTTCAACTTCTGTTCACTGGACTTTTATTTTCATTTCCTACAATTGTTTGTTTATATCTCAAACAATGGGTTATACAACAGAATGTATAGGAATTAGTGACAGACCGAAGTTTCAGTTTCGATCACAAATAGGCATAATCTTTTGGCTTGTCGAAGCATGCAATCTTAACTCTGGGGCTACAGCAAGGTGTACTGGTACATTTGTTTTGTAACTACTTATATAGTAAGATTACATTACGGCCGGAGTTTATTAACAGGAGATCAAAATTCTTGAATTTTTTATAAATCACCTGGTTTTGCTTCAAAAACATATTTTTTCACTTGATCCAGAGATCAAACCCTATGATCCAGATCAACAATGACCAATTAGAAAGCGTTTTAGTAAAACTAGATCAAAAACTGGTCAATATATTGAGAGAAGACGCTTTAATCTCTGCCTGAATCCTAGATCAAATCTAATATAATACCTAGATTGATATAACAACAATTACAGAGCACTTTATTGAAAAGAACACTGTATTACTTATTATTATTATTATTATTATGATAATTGAGATGAGCAGAGTACACAGTACTATAAGCTCATGCAGTAAATATAGTGTACGGATACGTAACACAAATACATCAAATAGAAAAAAATAAAAAAAAAATACAGTTCACAGCTATAAAGTTTGTACACTCCTCCAGCTATCATACTGCACTTTGAGGCTATTAACTGAAGTAGCACCAACCACACTTTCAGGTAAGCTATTCCAGGTGTTGAGTATGCGGTTGGGAAGAAACCACTGTCGGACTGTTGTTTTAAATGGCTCTATCTATCTCTACTTACCTGAGAGAGATAATTTTAGAAAAAACAATGTCTTTTTGAAGTTTCGTCAACCTGTCGATTAAATTGCCGTTTAATGTGATTATTAGATATATATATGAACCACTGTTTAGCAGACACATCGTGTGTGCACGCGCAAAATTTAAGCAAAGTACTCGAAATAATTTTAATAAAAGTATTTCAGTATGCATATAACGTAGATACGCTTCTTGGAGAAAATAAAGAGCACAGGAAAATCTTTGTATTTGAAATCAGAACTGCCTTGTGTGCTCAGTCACAGGATTATCCAGTGCTACCACATCAAATTGTTCAACGAACAGTCGTGAGGCTGAAATCGCGGTATATCCACAAATTAAACGTTACATTGGTCAATTACATTTCGGCTCTTTTAATATAATTGAAGAATAGTATTATTAAGCACAAGTACTATGTGTTAAAATAACAAAAGTTTGCCTGTTAATACATATTATTCATGTTTACTGTTATTAGGTTGGCAGTACTACAAATATGTCAACTGTCAATACTACAGCAAAACGAATAGTAGAGATGGGGCTGGAAGGATGCGTTCGCAAATATTCAGAACTGTTCATTACTGTGATTCAACGCCAAGAGAAATTATGTTAATCAATGCATAAACATAGTATGCACACCGAAACTTGCTATCCTAATTTGTTACAAGCATGAAGAAATCTGTGGTTGTGTGTACGAAAAATGACATCTCGCTCCTGGATAGGTGATTAGTTTTAAGTTTTTTTTATGAAATAACACGGTAAGTACAGCCATCTAGCGAATGTGTTATGTTTGGTTATAATTTTTAGAGTTGTTTTCAGTATATTTGATTTTGTCGTTCACCTGTAGATGACGCTACATCAGTTACCGTATATCAACTGAAGTTATAGGTGGCGTTGACATTGTATTGTTTTTTGTGACATTATATATTATATATAAATAACCCGTCGAGCACAGCTAATACTCCGCGGTCTCGGGGTACGCTGCCCCCAGCTACCGCAAGCGACTTGCTGCTCTAGAGATGAAGCTACTCCGGATCGCCACCAGTGCACCATCCTACGTAAGAAACTCAACCTTGCGTAGAGACCTGCATTGGGACACCATCCACGAGTACATGAGGAAAAAAGCGGAGAAGACCTTCGAGAAAGCTCAGGGCCACCCGAACGAGCAGCTACGATTCCTCATGGACTACGAGACGTTGTAGCAGACCGCAGGTCACGCACAACACATGGCCTACCGAGACGCTGATGAGACGGGCCACGCGGAGGTTTAGGGTTGAGTGGGTATTAGGTGGACAACCTGGAGTCCCACACACGCCGTAGCTCGGGCTATGGTATGGTGCGTAAACGCATTCCCCCCTCACCAAAAAAAACAGCTAATAGATATAGTTGTAGTCACCGTTCTTGGCGGTTACGTCAGTAATAGTGGTGTCGAAACTTCAGATTTAAAAACAATTACCAAATTCTGAGATGGCATTACTGGAGGTCTAAGCTGTAAGTTGTATGTGTTGATGATAATTACATTGGGTTCTTGTCTCAAATACACTTAATTGAGATTCAAAGCTAGTTGCGCTTTCACTTTTTCTTATCCATTCTGGAAATTACATATAGGTACAATTTGCTAGATTTCAAAAATGAGAGAGATAAGAAATAATTATATTTACTGTACACTGTCGAATTACAAGCCATATAAATGCTAACAGTAATTACACACAACGCGGGCGAGGTGATGACTTCCCGTAATAATTCTCCTCAGTTTTTCGTAATTTATAACTTTGAACATAACCTCTTCAGAAAGCACAACATAAAAATAACCCGTCGGGTCCAGCCAATAGATATAATTCAATGGCAGCATATTCAGTAATGATTTTCTCACACAGCAAATATCACTAAATTTATACACATGAAGACCAATACGCATAATCACCCAGATGCGATCTTGCTATTCAACCAGCTTTCTTTTCAGAGATAAAAACTACAGACAAGAACCATTTGGTCTCACAAAACATATGCAACCAATAATGCGTTTTGTTTAGTTGAGCGATTCCTCCCCCTAGATGGACGTTCAAAATGATCCTAGTGAGCCAACGTGGAATGACTGTTTGCGCCCTAAAAACTACCTAGTTTGCAAGATGACATCTTATAGGTTTTTTGACGTTTTATAGGTTTTTTACATGATCCCATGCTGGTGAAATTATGGTTGACAGCTGTTGTGATGACGTCAGCAACCGGTTCCATTGAAGGGTTGTTAATAAAAAGACGCATTTTTAGCCTTCAGGTTGCCGTCATATGAAAAAACCTAACCTTTGTTTTATCGTGAATGGATACTTGTTAATTTGGAGTTCGTATCCTTTAAAATCATGATGGCAATCTACGTAGCGGTTAGTATTGTGGTGGAACGTTTGTTAAGCGATTTGAGTGATGATTCGGATGAAGAAGTTATCCAGTGGAGAGAAAAAGCAACTTTTCAGATTTGCATAATTCAAAATAAAATCACTTGCCTTCAAATGCTTGTTTATTTCGAATTGTCACCCTGACAAAGATGACTGAAGGGCACTCATACGTAACGTAAGTTTTCCAGGCGTAGACATAAAGTAAAAACGTATGTCTTTGAGCTTACCGAGCAAACGTTCAAACACACACACAGGGGTAGGTTGCATGTATATGTATGAGGAAGATGGAGATATACATATACATATACATCTGATCAAAAGAAATGTTTTTCTCCTTTAACATTTTTGTGGTAAAATTAAAGTAACAAAATTATAGCCCTTTAGAAGTTTGAGTACCGCCCTGTCTCAATAATAATACGAGTATTATGTGCTCGTGTTTGGCAACAATGGATATAATCCGCCTTATCGGTTCATCGCATCGGAAACAAAAAAGCAAAAGAATTTGAAACGATGTTTTTACTACAATTTTATTCAGTTGTATTCAGTCAATGTGTCAGTCGGTAACGCGTGAGTGAATAGTGGTGTTTGTTGCGTGGCTCAAACGAAATAAAAAATGGCACATGTTTACGAAAATGCTGAACTTGTAGACATGATTCTTATTTACGGGGGGGAGTCTTTACAAAATGCTGCCGCGGCATCACGGATTTATGTGGATTGGTTTTCCAATCGAGTGCAACCAACCCCTCGTGCCTTTGTTAATGTAGTACAAAGGGCTCGTGAATCAGGTGACTTAAGACCTCACAGGGGAAGGCATGCCGGTGCTCCAACACCGCACGATTAAATACAGGTCCGCACTGAAATACTTGTCGGGAGGATACTTTATAAAACAAGGTAACATTTTTTTTTTTAATTTTTACACACATATTTTGGTTTATCTTCCTTCTAAAATTATTATCTGAAAATTAATGACTCAACTTAAAGTCACACTGTATAAAGGGATACTAGTAGTCTTACTTTGACCCGCTAAGAACGGCGACTACAACTATAGAGGGTGTCAGCAAAGTTGGGTTTTCATTTTCAGACAGAACTACCCTTGATTGTAAAGGGTTTTTATAACGTTTTATAGGTTTTTTACATATTTAGAAAATTTGGCTACAAAAAGAGTTACTTATTTTGAATGTGATACTGAGTTGGTTTTGTGTTTGCGGTGAATGTTAAATCAATCAGATTCTAAAAACAAAAACAAGAGACACTTCATAAACACTCTCATATTGAATTAGAGCCAATGCAGCTTTAATGTCATTGACCTACATTGATTAACATAAATGTCGTTATAATTTGTTATGATCGTTATTGTCTCACAAAATGGTAAAAACTTGAAATGCGTATTCAAATATCGTTATTATCTGAATTCGAATACACACGCCATCTCTAGCCGACAAAGATGCACAAGAAAACAGTGGTTTCCATTTTATGTTATTACAGACCTTTCTTTCTGTAGTATAATTTGTATCTTTTTTCTACCATTTTTTCAAAAAAATTATAAAGGAAAGGCAACAGTTTCTATTCGTCTAAACCAGATAAATGTGTTTAAAATAATTGTAATTCATAACGGATATATCCTTTTTTTCAGTTATCTCAGGTGTTTATCTTTGTTTTGAATCTGG